TAAGCGGCATATTTTTTTTAATTTTCACGTCATTAACAAAACTTAACCAAAACCCAAACCCTTGAACGGCAGTGTACAATATATTTATGTAATATTTTGGCAGATTTGAGATCTTTAAATTAAATATTTGTCTGTATTTCCACTTTAAGGTATGAGAAGATGTGCAGTGGCATGTACCTGGGTGAGATTGTTCGAAACATCTTGATCGACTTGACGAAGCGAGGCTTCCTCTTCAGGGGACAGATCTCTGAAACACTGAAGACCAGAGGCATCTTCGAAACCAAGTTCCTGTCCCAAATTGAGAGGTATTGAAGCATTTTCATCTCGCAAAACAGACACATTGAAAGCCAAAATATCCTGTCAGGAATATGTTAGGTTCGCGGGCTAAAATGTGTTTCCTCCCTCTAGTGACCGTTTGGCGCTACTGCAGGTCAGGTCTATTCTCCAGCATCTGGGTCTGGACAGCACATGCGATGACAGTATCATCGTCAAGGAGGTTTGTGGAGCTGTTTCTCGTCGAGCAGCTCAGCTCTGTGGAGCAGGAATGGCTGCTGTTGTGGATAAAATCCGGGAGAACCGTGGACTGGATCATCTGGACATCACTGTTGGAGTGGATGGCACCCTGTATAAGCTCCATCCACAGTAAGTACATGCACAATCAATGGATGCATATGATCGCTTTTATCTTGTGGGTAAAGTAGACCTACTATATATATATATATATATATATATATATATATATATATATATATATATATATATATATATATATATATATATGTGTGTGTGTGTGTGTGTGTGTGTGTGTGTGTGTGTGTGTGTGTGTATGTTGAATGAATCTGCATGACTAGAAACTGTTGTAAAAATTTGATTGATTTATTTGAATCAATTTGATTGATTCACTTGATTTATTTATTTATTGTTTATTTGTTTGTTTGTTTGTTTTTAAGATTCACATTCAAAATATGAGGGAGATAAATATGCAGTTTAACACCCATCTAAAAATGTATTACAGTATAAAAACTCTGCCATATCTTAGTTATACATATTAGATCAGTGGTTTTCAAAGTGGGGGTCATGAGACAATTGGGGTGGAGGGTCGCTTGGTGATTTCTAAAAATCACATATACAGTATGTTATTAAACTATTAAAATTACCATATTTTATCCATAACCTACAGAAGATAAAAAAAAATTTTAACTTATAATTTATTTAATATATACTTAATATTTAATAGTTACATAGATACAACATGCAAATATAAAGCCATCAGCCTTTCATTTTTTTCCATTGTACTGCGACCCCTGGAGTTATTATGCTAGATTAACCTCACAGCAATACTGTTAGTTGCAGCAGATTGATTTTACGGTACAATGTTAAAGCCCACGACTAAACATGGAGAATTATCTCCAAGTGGTAATCTTCAAAATTTTACCAAGAATAGTCTTGTGCTGTAAACATTGTGCCGACCATTCTAATTATGTGAGGGAACAAATTAATAATGAATATAAAAAAACTGTATGATTGTTGTTGCACTTTTTTGTGTTGTCAATATACTTGTGTTCATATAGTTCCTATTGGTGTGGGTGGGTGCACTATTGTGTTATTGTGTTATGTTTATAACCACCTCCGAGCATAGTGGGGGAGGAGTCATTGAAATTGTTGTTTTAGGGGTTGTGGGCTGAAAAGTTTGAGAACCCCTAAATTAGATGAAAAAAAAAGCACTTGGCATACATATCCAGCTTGTCCAGCCTAGCCAGGCTGGGAGACCAGACAAAAACAGCTACGCCCAGCTTTTTTCCACGTCCAGTTAAGATCAGCTAACCAGCTTGGCTTGTCAAGCTGGTTTTACCTGGACAATCCAGCTTGTCTCTCAGCCTGACCATCTAAAATCAGCGTGGACGTGGCTAAAACCAGCACAATCAACCAACTTAAACCATCCAACCAGCTTAAGTTTGTTAAGCTTAAGTTTTTTGTTTTTTTGTTTTTTGGCAGAGTATTAAAGTTCTGTGGAAAGTGTAATGGTGCCATATTTCCACTTTAAACATGCAGCACCCATATTAATAAACATATTTGTTGTAAGTGTAAAGAAAGCCTGAAATAGAAGTTGTGATACTCTTTTTTTTCCATTTTGTGACATATTTAATTAAAATACCTTCTTGTACAAGAAAATATGTAGAGTGGAACTTGACTTTGTCCATCTGAAAATTGTGTGTGACAGTTTGTCCTGCCCTTAAATGCATCAGAAAAAGATAACTCATTTGGAAGTTATTTCGATTGAATTTTATGAGGGCTTAATCATTGAAAAATTTGGATTGGAATAAATACTGTAATATTCCACAAAAAAATTGAAATTGAAAGTGTCTTTACTAAACATATTAAGCCAAATTCTATGCCAGCGGGGAACTTTTTGTCCCTACACACATACAACTAAATTCATTTGACAGTTTGCACGCTACATTTCCAGTCACAATGAATTCTGCCTCTGCTGCATCTCCTCAGTTTCTCTAGGATAATGCATCAGACAGTGAAGGAGCTCGCCCCCAAATGCAACGTCACTTTCCTTCTCTCAGAAGACGGAAGCGGTAAAGGTGCTGCCTTGATTACCGCCGTTGGGTGTCGCCTCCGCCAGCAAGAACAGAAGAGCTGAACCCTGCGATGAACAAGCCCTCGGCCTCTTCTCCAGCTCTCCAAGAGCTCATACATTTCCACTCGCAGCTGTGACTCGGCTCTCAAAAACCATGACCCGGCACATCCTTCTGCTCATTCCCAGAGCTGGGATCTGACCCCTTGGCTTTGTATTTCACTCCTACATGTTCCTGTTTGTCTATGTGTGTTATTAGGGGTTGGTCCATCAGCGTCCACCCAACTATATAAAGATGTTCTTTAAGATGTTAAATTGTTGTTAAAGTATTTATGGATGTATATTGGAAAAAGGGAAGAAATGTAAACACAGTACAACCATTAAAGTAAAGATATTTGACCAAGTATATTAAGATATTATTTATTTTATTTTTCTATCTGCCGGTAGACATAACAGGAATGGATACCTGAGGAAAAGAAGGTATTTTGTTGCGATTATGCCAAGCTAACTCCAAACCTCTGCATATTGTCATTTGTCTGTGTGGCAGCTTGTAGTGATGAATACTGCGAAACATTCACTGTCGAAGTGAGGAAGACGTGCAAATTGCAGTCACAGCTGCCTTCCTGTGTAATTCAAACCACTACTTGTCGCCATACAAATGAACAAAGACAGGAAAACCTATTGCCTTTGCATATCCAACCTTTCTGAATTAGTCTTACCTTCTCATACCCGAAGCGGATTGTATCGTGCGTATTGCTTTTGTCAGCTTTTTGCTGTGTGTGTATATGCAGATATGCGGGTTGTCGGTACTGATTCCCAGTAAATGTTCTTCTGTGTGCCCCGGCTGGTTATTTGTGAGTGATTGTGTGTAGTTCATGTGAGTGAATCTGTGTAGTGGCTCAGAGATCTACTGATGAATGCATGCCTTATTTGGTAACGGAAATTAGCATCCACTGATTTTGTACTATTTCATAGTTGCACTATATAAATAGATGTTCCTGGAAAAAGAAAACCTATAGGAGAAAAACCATAAAAATATTTTGATCAACTACTGAATTTGTGTTCTGTGGTTTCCTTTGCAGTTGCCCAAATTATGTAGCATTGTTTTGTTTTCCGTATTTACATCCTGTGTGATAAATGTTTGTGCAATAAAAGAAATTCCACTTTTTCTATCTACCTTGAATAAATATGCTGGCTTATATCCAGTCAGTTGGCTATTTACCCTCATGAAAGGTTTTTCCACTATTTAAGACCTTCCAGAGAGTCATCTATTTGTGAAGGGCTGCAATTTATTCTAATAACCTCTTGAGCTGTATGGCCAAAAATGACAACACTGATCTCTGGATTCATTGACGTGTACTGATTCATCTAACAGTTACTATGACAAACATTTTGGGCGTCTGCCAATTTAATTATTTTTTTAATGAACGCTTTGGTCTAGCGTTACAAAACTTTTTACATGTTTTGGCACCGATCCCTCAGTCAACCTGTTCTATTTTGGTCTGTCTCCACCAACTGGTCAAAATTGCTAACAAAATTAACAAAAAATGCTTGAAGGGTTTGTGAATTTAATTAGATTGCCGTTAATGTCTCAAATTCTCTTTTCGTGTGTGGTACAGAACGTTATATGTTTTTAAACAGTCAGCCATTTTGTCTGTTTGCCATTTTGATTTAAGTAAAACAAATAAGTAACCTATATGTTCACACTGATCTTATACCACTTATTCAGTCTTTACAAAAATCAAATGAATTCATCTTAAACTGTTCTTCTGTAACTTTCTATAAAAGTTAATGGAGTAATGCCAAAATGGATCTGATGCTTTTTAATTTAATTAAATCTGATGCTTTATTTCAGCATTTGATTAGCATATCTAAGTCAAACTTTGTCTGCCTTTGCCATACCTTGTAAAACTGCCAATATCACATAGTTTTGGGAGCAACTGCACAAGCTATTAATCACAAATATTATTTATTCATTAATTAATTTTCCTTCGGCTTAGTCCCTTTATTAATCAGGGTCACCACAGCAGAATGAAATTCCAACATATCTAGCATATGTTTTACGCAGAGGATGCCCTTCCAGCTGCAACCCAGTACTGAGAAACATCCATTCAAACTCATTCACACACATATACTACTGCCAATACTTTATTCAATTAACCTATAGCACATGTCTTTGCACTCTGGGGGAAACCAGAGCACCCAGAGGCAACCCACGCCAACACGAGGAGAACATGCAATCTTCACACAGAAACGCCAACTGACCCAGATGGGACTTGAACCAGTGACCTTCTTGCTATGAGGTGACAGTGCTAACCACTGAGCCACTTTGATGCCCCCTCAAAAATAACACAATTGATAAATTATTTAATTTAATTTCATATCAAATTAATTATTTGAATGAATAGATTACATGTTTTAGTTTTAGTGGATACTTTATTTGTATTCTACTGTATAGCCTACTTCATTTTTCAGCACAAGGTCTTATTCAAGATGTTCAAATCCCTCTTTTATTACATTTACTATTTGATAACCCATTAGCAAACATAGGAAACAGTAACTGTAGAATTTCCTTTACTTTTTCTTTAAGAATGAACAATCATACAGATTAAACAGATGCTAGACAATCATATGAAAGGAAAAACAAAAAGATATAAAAAATCAACAAGTAGTATATACAAATTATATTTATATATAAAACCACTGGCAAGTACATTTTGCGTGACAGCATAACAAACACATACATTAAATATTTTTTTATATGGAAAAAAACTACATAGTGAACCATATTTCAGAATGTATGTAATCTGGATGCTGTGGCCAAAAGAAAAAAGTACACACTATTTGCATTTAAATGAATAAACATATCTCTGTCTTGGGTCTAAAACTCTCCAGCTAATTCTATAGTTGCACATGCAATTGTATACTATAGATAATACATGCTGAAAACACTGAGTACCACTGAAATGTGAGCTTTCATGTCTATGTACAGTACAGATGCAACATGGGAATGTTTGTTTAGCTTCATTAATATATTAGTTTCCTCTTCCTGTCTTTGACAACTATTACACATTTTTCTTCCATTTGTCTTTCTTTTTTCCAGCACTGTCAATATAATCCAACAGTCATCATATTTGTCACAATAAGCAATTAGATGCTTTAAACATTTTGTTATTGTTGCAGTTCTGAAATGTATATGGTTTTATTATTGTTATCTTTTTTTTACATTTACATTTAAAGCTGCCTCTTAACATAGAACTCAGTATTTACATCTGAAACATTCATTGCACCATATAGCGACGTATGAAACAACAAGGTCCAGCACTGTTCAAAATTTTGATATGAGTAATATATGTGTATACTATATTTTCCATTTTGTTTTATTGTTCATTTTGTTTTATATTTTGATGGCAAAGTTGAATTTTCAGCATCAGTATACAGTCTTCAGTTTCACATGAACCGTCAAAAACAGTTGTGCTGCTTAATATTTTAGTAAATACCACAGAATAGGATACTCTGATGTATAAGACATTGAAAAGAGCAGCAATTTCTTAAAATAGAAGTCTTTTGTAACATTATTAACGTCTTTATGGTTAATTAAATGGATGATACTGAACTTTTAAATGGTAGTGTATGTAGTTTATACACAACAAACATATCTATATAGGATACTTATATTGAGACCAGTACTTTTAAGCAGCAACACAGACACAATAAGGCTTAGTGCTTATGCCATAAGAGTACAAGAATACTCCAACTGTAAAAGATCCACCACAGAGCACAGTAATATGTGAGACTCAGTTTTGTTTTGAGGTATCAAGTGCTACATGTGGCTGTTTTTCTCATCATTAAATTATTGTAGACTCAGGCTTTGATTAGTTTGGATGTGGTGTCTTCTGGCTCGTTGGCGTGATTACGGACCACCACGCTGGTGGTCTCAGTGCGATAACTGCGTCTCATGTGAAAGGTCCTCATATGCTGCAGTTCCATATTGTCCTCCTCTGAAATCTTGACGAAGGGGCACCACTGGAATGCCTTGCGAAAACCTGAGCGGAATCTACAAAGGGAGATGCAGGCGTTCTGTGCATTAGTCTGCATGTGTAATCAGCGAATATACGATTGAATACCTTAAATTATCAGATTTTTTTGTGTACTGTACATGTAACAGTTTTTCTCATCCTATTCCATGTGGTATTCAAACTAGGAAGCAGGTACTCTAACAAGGACACTAATGACTACATCCTACTAGTGGAACATGCCTTGTGACATCATGATGTCCACAAAATGTTTAACCATTTTGGAAATGCTTCAACGTGATCATAATTTATGCAATTGTATGCTAAAGGAACTCCATAATGAGTTTTGTCCTCCATACTTCCTTATATTATTCATTTGTGTTTCAAGAGTTCCCACTTAGATATGCTTGGCACTTACAGCAGGTTTGGCATGCTGTCCCGGGAGAGAACCCTGAGCTCGGAGATATTTGAGCCCAGGCCTCCCGCCCGGTCTAGATGCATATCAGGAGAACCGAGATCAGGTAGGTCTCGATCGCTCCCCCTTTAGAAGGGGAGAAAAAGGAGGAGAGGGGGTGGAAGGGGGGATTCTTCCAAAACGAAGATAGTGCAATGAGGAGAAAGTGATCCATTTATATTAAGCTAGGATCATTCTGATTGGATTATTACTGATTACGGATGAGTGGCCAGCGGTGCACAATCATATCACGTGCTCCTCTCGAAATTAGTTTATGAAACTTCACTTAATATGTATTAATATTCCATATAATCATCAATACAACATCATGAACAATTAGGATTCTGGGTCCATGTTGTAACACTGTGTAAAGTTTTTGTAAATACATTTGTCACACATTCTTTGTTACTCTTGAATGTGGCTGATTCTTCAGCACACTGAAATGAAAAACGAATTTAACTGCAGTGTGTGCGTGGCCTAAAATGGAACTTTAGGAGCAAATGCTGAGGATTGCATGGCAATAAACTTTGCTAAATGAGTGCAAACACTGTAATAAATACCCAGGTTAGAGTTAAAATCTACAGTTAATCATTTCTTTCTTCTACATTAAACGTAATGTGTGTTTACCTTTGGTTTAGACAGCAGTAGATGATGGGGTTGTACATTGTGGAGCTCATGGCCAGCCAGAAGATGGCCAAATAGACCTGCTGGATGTAGTGCTGCTTGTAAATGTCCCGGTTGAAGCTGCCCAGAATGAAGTAGATGTGGTAGGGAAGCCAGCATATTGCAAAGGTTGTCACCACCACTATCATCATCTTCACAACCTTTATAAAATTGTAAAAATTGCATGAATCCTTTTTACTTTTTACACAAAGAACTATAAATCATTATGAATAGTAATTGCCTTATAATTAAGGTCAAAACATTCGAAAAGTGAAGAAGATAATTTCCTGTTCTTACGGAAGATCAGCTTTCCATTCGCTGGAAATGCTTTTATCATTGATTCTTTAATTTTATTGTAACAAAATACATTTGATTATGATAATTTCTTCATATGCAGTTATCACATAAAAACCTGCCATATGTAACTTGATATGCTAAAATGAAATGAAATTACCACTAAAATAAAAATGAATCCAACTCTATAGATGAAGAATCTTAATGCAAAAGCCTCCAAGTGCCACCAAAAAAAAAAGTATTTTTCTCAGCCATGCACCTTTGTTTATGTTAAGATATTTTGATTATATATTAGGAGTATATATTCATATTATTAATAGGTTTTTTAAGCAAAGAAATAAACTATAAATGGGAGTTACTGAACCTATACCATAGACTGTAACATAAATAAAACCTTTACATAGAAGCTTTAGAAAATGATCCTTTTAGAAGAAAAGCTCAGATGGCATTTACAGGCTTTTGCGCCTGACCTTTTATAGTTTATGATTTATAGTTTATTAATATTGTTGACCTTGCGTTTGGCCTGCATCTGGTTTTGGTAGTGGTCTGAAGCTTCTCCAGGGATCTCGCTGCCCCAAAGCCGCTGTCCCACCAGACTGTAGGTCACCAACATCACCAGCAGAGGGAGCAAGTAGATCAGGATAATCACAGCAATCTGATATCTAAAGAAATCGAGCATCAATTCATGAGTTTTACATTTCTGTTGGAATAAACAGCTGTCTGAATGCATTATGGGACTTGATCTCAGCTTTGACAAGTAATGTGGAAAAAATTATCATTATCATTAAGTTTGAAATGATATATTGTCTGGGTTTGTCATGTAAATTACAGTAGAAGGTCTGGATAATGAGCTTCATTGTCAAGTGTTATTTTTAACAGAATTAAATTGTAGAGAATGCACTCGCTGTGTAATAATTATGAACATCTTGCTAGTTTCAGGTTGGACCACATTATTACTATTTTTTTCTTTAGATCTGCCTTAATTCTTTGTGGTGTAGATTCATGAAGGTACCATATTGAAGTGAACTGATCTTTGTGATACAGCACATTATTTTGCTGGATTCATCTCACAAGATGAGTACACAGTGGTCATAAAGGGATGGACATGATCTACAACAATACTCGGTACTGTAGGCTTAGCAATTGAAATAAATTCTTAAGGACCGCAAAATGTTCCTACATTCTCACATTACACCACAACCATCCTGAACTGCCAATGCCAATAGGCTACAAGGAGTAACAGCAGAAACCGAGACTCATCATCCAAACTTTGAGCATATTTAGTGAAACCATGTAATTTACCTGAGGAAATTCATAATTATAAACTGACAATCAATTGATAAACTGACAATAATCGATAAACTGACAATCATCTGTGTGATTTTCTACTGCTGTAGCTCATCTGCTTCAAGGTGTTAATAGTGTTGTTGTGCATTCAGAGAAGCTCTTTTTCAGACCTCATTTTTAACAATGTTTGAACTTCTTTTGACTTTAATCAGTCTGGTCATTCTCCTCTGACCTCAACAATACACTTTTGGTCACAAAACTACAACTTTAAATACTCTTTAAATCTCTGATAGTGAACATCTGAAATTCTCAGACCAGGTCATCTGTAATGCCATGTTTAAAATCACTTTAATAACCTTTCTTTTCATTCAGGTGCTCTGTTGGAACTTCATCAGATTGCCTTTACCACACCTACTACATTCATTCCTCAGATATGGGAAAAAACAGCTCAACAGATGTGCTTAATGAAGTGGGCCAGTGTGTGCATAAACATATAAAATGTGAAAACTTTTCAGAGCACAAATCCCACCACAACATGCAAAGTCATTTCTTACGAGAGCTGATGTTTCCCTCCATAATCGTCAGGCCATTCCACCATACAAACAGTCCGCGGGAAGTAAAACTTGGTGCTGGCATAATAACACTGAGGAAATGCCAAAGAAAAAGCCACGGTCCAGATGACCCCGATCAGAAGTTTAGTAGTGGTGGAGGACAGTCTGGGCTTCAGAGGATGGATTATGGCCATATATCTGTGGATTTCAGCCAACAACATCTTAATGAAAGTGACTATATGCCTTTAACTGATGTCCCACCATAAATTTGATATATGTTTATAAAAAACAAAATAGGCTCAATGTCATTTTAGTGACTCTCCCTTCTAAAGACATTCAATGCATTACAGGGCTGCTTTTGAACATGAATTACTGCATGCATAATTTTACACTGGAGCCCACCCAGAAAGAGAGGATTGATTTGGTTGAGTTACTTTTTCCCCTGTTTTATTACTATCATCTTCTTGTTGGTCTCTAAATCAGACTCCTGTCATCAGAACACAATGTAGAAAGTGATCTACACTCAATGCTGAGCCTTTTTTCCGCATGAGTCACCAAGTCAACTGGAATTGATTATCCAGGGATATCACACATTATGATTTTTCTCTTTTCGAGTCACTTGAAAACGTTTGTACGTACAAAAAAATGACATATTTGACACATTTAGGGGAACATTTACAATCTATGTGCACAAAGATTCCCATTTAGACCCTTTGATATTTAAAGTGTCAGTCCTGATCACTTCACCATTTTGCATGAGAGTATAATAACACTTTCAAGTAACTATGACAATCTCAAAGGACAATTATAACATGGCATAAAAATATGATTTATAATTGCTGGGGGCTAACAATATCTATGGAAATTTTCTTATTATTAATAATTGTGTAATTTTTAAACATTTAAAGTTGATTAATTATTTTATTCTAAACGTTTAGTGGCATTTTTTATACTTTCTATGGTACTAAAATTCTGCATTCCTATTGGGAAAAAAGAGCTCTTTAACCAGATGTCTGACCACCTGATCAATCACATAAATTGGTTTGATATCCAAATTCTAACTATATATGTCCAGCAAGAAAGAATAAAAAGCAGCTGAAATCAGAACTTCATAATCTTATAGTTTACGTGTTTTATCACTGCTATTTTTTAGGAACTTGCAGTCTTTATAATACATGATTTATAACATATAATCTCATTGTTGTGCAATAAATATTTATTATTACCAAACTGGGGGAACATGTTAAGGTGTAAAAGCACTATTACATTACACGCACACGCACACGCACATTAACACACACCTTATAATTTGTTTAGTCTGCTTACCTGTCAACTGCAATAGCGGCCATTGAATAAATGCTTGAGAACATTGCTGTTATTGGGAAGAAGTTTTGAAATTTACAATATCCTAAACCAAAATACCAGTCATTGTGCAAAGCATAAACGAAATTAAAAACGGTGTTAAAAGTTGCCATAGAGGCATCAGAGAAGGCGAGGTTGACAATGAAGTAGTTGGTCACTGTCCTCATGCGTTTATGCGCCAGAATGATCCAAATAACTGTGACATTGCCAATGAAGGAAATAATTACGATCAAAGTATATGCAATCGCCCATAATGCCACCTGCCAGTCCGGCTGCTCGAACAGATTAATGGATGTTTCGTTTCCATCTTCATCGTAATACAGAAGAGATGATGAAAGGGGGTCCAAAGTGGTATCCATTGTAATTGTCCATAAAATCTCAAGACATAAATCTTTTTGCTTATTCCATTGAATGACTCACTATTCTGATGCTATGGCATGGTAAAACTGTGTATTTTAGGCATTTGCAGCAGTTCATTCTCCAGTGAGTGGTCAGTGCGCTATGTGCCGCTTTATGTCCAAACTGCCGGCTGAAGTGCGTTTTTGCGCCTGCAGGGATGGTGGAAAACTGAAGGAATGTGTGCCAAGTATTGGAGGTGTGTCGGGTCCAATGCAGTGACGTTGAGTAAAGCATCTTTGCCAGCGCGCAATGACGCGCAGCATCCATCCTGCGTTCCGAAAATCTGCCAATAATCAAAATATTTAATTGGCATGCACTTGACGCGCTAACCGTGGACAGCTTGCGGTCATTAATTATTGCAAACTCCCTTCAGCGCACGCTAATGGAAATATGTCACATTTTAAGAGCATGTGTGGGGTCTACTCTGCTCTACTTGTTCCACTGAGATCTTATCAGTCCCTATATTTCTCCAGTTGCGTGAGGTGATGGTTGATCATTTTGTCTGAGCAGTGAGACATGGGTTTGGGCTGCAGCTGGAGGAAGTGGATAGTAAATTACTGCACATTACTTTTATTCGGACACCACTTGCTGAAATTACAGGCTGGTTTTCTAGATCTATAGCTTTTATTATTATTTTTATTAAAGGGATAGTTCACCCAAAAAAATTCACTATTTACTCACCCTCAAGTGGTTCTAAACCTTTACAAGTTTTTTCTTCTTTTTTTGGAACACAAAAAAGATATTTTGAAGAAAGCTAAAAACCTGTAACCATTGACTTCCATAGTAGGAAAACAAATATGGAAGTCATTGATTACAAGTTTTCATTATTTGTCTAAATATATTATGTTGTGTTCAACAGAAGAAAAAAAAATCATAAAGACTGGGAACTGCTTCAGGGTGAATAAATAGTGATCGAATGAACATTTTTGAGTAAACGCTCCCTCAATGTGCAAATTACACACTTTTCATATAAATGTATTATTTAATAATTATTAACAATAATTTATTATTTAAATTATTATTTCGTATTATTTAAAGTGTCCCTTATAGCCTCAGCTGGGTCAGTTGGCATTTATGTGTGGAGTTTGCATGTCCTCCCCGTGTTGGGTTTCCTCCGGGTGCCCTGGTTTCCCCCACAAGTTCAATTACATGCGCCATAGGTGGATTGTGTAAGCTAAATTGGTCATATGTATGTGTGTGAATGAGTGTTTATGGGTCATTCCCAGTTCTGGGTTGCAGCTGGAAGGGCATCCGTTGTGTAAAACATATGCTGGAATAGTTAGCGGTTCATTCCACTGTGAAATATAGTTTAAGCTGAACGAAAATGAATGAATGATTTAAATTTTAAAGTGTTGTGTTATGTGCAAATGTATATATTATGTTTATATTAAAGACAAAAAAAAAGGTTCAACAGTCTTCCACCAGACTGTGCACAGCAGCATGTTACAATGAAAATACTCATTCTCTAATGCAGTAGTTGGATATAGCAATGACACTTAGTCAATTGCTGTTGTTTTCAAACATTTTGTTTTATAATAATTTTATTGTACCCAGAATATTTTATTATAATCCACAATGGTTATAAAAACATGGTTATTTTTCATAAGAGTTTGAATATAGTTTGAGTTGGGTAATTTTGTGTGTCAATCACTTGTATACAAAAACAGTAAGAACAGAGCGTGGTTAAGAATATTGTGTGGCTGGCTGAAGCCGTCGAACTGATGTCAAGAAGGACCACGCTCCAAATGCCCAAGCAAATGGTTAGACTTTAAATGAAGGTTACCAAAACATTTTTGTGTGGATAACTTGCATGGATAAATTGTCAATCTAAGAAACAACAACAATGTATGCTATTAATACAAAACATTGTAAGTTTTTTATGGTTTCTTTACACCACAGGTGTCAAAGCCAGTTCTTTAAGAGCCGCAGCTTTGCACAGTTTAGATTTAACTCCAATTAAACACACTTGATCAAACTAATTAAGTCCTTCAGGCTTGTTTGAAACTTACAGGTAAAGCTGTGATCACACTGGACTTTTCTTCCTATACACTTCCATTCATATGCACGCGAATAAGTCAGACCGGAAACACAAGGTTGTGCAACAAGTTGTGTTGCAAAGTTCCAGCTTGGTAAACTCTGACCTGCGAAATCCAACACAATCTCACGGCAATTCGTAACTTTTTTATTTAGTGGCTAATTCGTACAAATTCCTACGATCTAATTCGTACATTTTGGTAAAATTTGCTTATCCCCCAATGACGGTTGGGTTTAGGGGTGGGGTTAGGTGCCACGCCTCCTTTTTAAAATCGTACATTTTCTTATGACTGAACTCGTACGAATTCGTATAAATTAGCCACTAAACTGCCAAAACGTAAAATACTTACGTTTTCTCGTGAGATCAGGCTGGTGAAATCACATAACTTAACTGTGTGAGACTAGTCGAGCATCAAAACATGACCTCTCTGGACAGAAATTTAAAATATGGACAAATCGCTCGCTTTCTTAAATGTTTAATCCCGCCACTTTTTACAGTGACATACAACAGATTTTCGCAAGCTTAAAGTCTAGTGTGATCGCTTAAGTGTGTTGAAGCAGGGATGGAACTAAACTGTACAGAGCTGCGGCCCTCCAGGAACTGGATTTGACACCTGTACTTTACAGAGTGACATCGCCGTCTACTGGTTTAACATGCACACAAGAGCGTTTAAAAAAAGCCATACAGGATCTAACCATTTAGATTTTTTCTCAAATCCAAAACTTACAACTTTAACAAACTCAGAATTACTCATAATACAAAGTTGATTATGTAGCTGCATAAACCATTGACAATTTAAATAGTCAAAAATGTGCTAATATGAAGATATATGTTGGTGTTTTATTATTTTTCATATACATTTTCTTATTAAGATCTACTTAACTATGTCTATTTTAGTGCTTCATAATTATGCTCGATTGATTGTATTGCATTTAAGATAAAACACTTAACATCTGTCTAGGGACAACGGATGAAAAAAATACTTCTGGCTAATTCTGGTGCATTTGCATCAATGCTAATAAATGTACACTGTCCCTACCAAATAAACAAATAAATAAGTAAATAGAAAGACAAGGAAAAAGAAAGAATATTAGCTACATTCTTGACAGTCAGATAGGTTAAACTCTTAACTTACATATCTGTTTGATACATTTATAAATACAATTAAAATGTACTGTTTAATGTGTTTTATATGAATTATGGAATAATTATTAATATTCAATTCTTAATTATTATAAAATTATGATCTGCTGAAATTGAATGATTTTGTTTATTATTTAGTTTATTTATTTATTTTTAGTTTATTGTTCATGTTAATTTTAGTGTTAAATCAACACTAAGAATGTTCTATGAAATCCCGCTCTCTTATTGGTCAAGCGACCCATCAATCAAACCATTGTCATTCATGTCGGTGCGGGAGTGATAATGGATCTCTGCTCTCTCAGGTAGACGATACGAAACAAACCAGGAAGTGTTTACAGGAACGCAGTTCGTGCCTTATATTAGTTTTAAACATGACCGGTGAAGTCCGATATTGCGAGAAGTGCTCGTACTTCTTCCTCAAGTTCTCGTTAATCGGATATGCAACAATTTTCTGGGTGAGTTTAATTGTTTTTATCTTTTCCTTTGCTGTTTATCGATGTGGCAGGTCCATGAAGCGAACGTTACGTCAACAAACAAGTGCGAGGCAGGGAAAAAAGAGAATGAAGAGCGCAGAATATCAAAAGTTTTTTTTGCAATAACGTTTATGTTTATTTATATAATTCAATATCGTTACTGTAAATGATTCATGAAATAGCCTGTTCCAGTGCTCCTGACCCCACCCTCCTCCAGTCATACTGTTGTACTGTGGGATTATGAGTTTGTTATTGAATCATCGATATATTTAGAAGAGTAACGTTAGTTATGCGTTTGAGCACATCAAATATTATAAACGACGATGTTTGTTCGATTTTTTTCATAAAATAAGAAAATAAGAAGCTGTTGAAAATAAGAAAATCTAAAATCATACAATGGAAAGACAGAAATGACACTTGCTATGGTGTTGTAATATTTGTGCATAAAGCAATAAATAGGATCCATTTAAAAGGGCTAGATAGAAATTGTAGTTGACTCATTTTAAAAGTTGGTGGTTTTATTTTGTTTTGCTAATCAGATGACCAGTAGTCATGTTTTAAAAAGCCATACCCTTAGTAAAAAAACATGGTTTTTGACCTCAGACCATCTCATATTGAGTCATAAATATTTCATAATTTACCCAATGATGACCCGCCCCCACCCTTGTCAGTATTGTAAGTTTGTTAGTTGTATTTGTTTTGCCTGTATTTGTTTTGCCAGCTTAATTATATTGATATTTTACTTTCAAGACCAGGAAAATGACTTATTCTTTGCCATAAAAGTGATATTACTGAACATACACACAGGAAACTGATAAAATACTCATTTTAGAAAAAAAAAAAAAAAAACAGACGGCTTTTAGAGGTTTTTGCATGTAACCTCTTCAATTGTACACTACATTTTCTTGTGATTTCTTTACTTGTGTATTACTTTACTAAAACGTCCTACTATTTTTTATGGATTGATTTGTACATTAGAATCCTAGGAAATATTTCTAGAATATTTCATAGATCTACAATATGTCCTAAATTCGATCTCTCTTTTTACATACAGTGCTCAGCATATATAAGTACACCCCTCACAAATCTATCTTTTAGATTCATACTTTTAATAGGAAGCTATACAATATTATATTTGTGCATCTACATTAGATTAGTCAGTACTAAAGCTAAATCTCCAGCTTATCTAACAAAATAACTCTTGAAAACCAAAAACACCCAAATTTATATGTTATAGAAAAATAATAAATAGAGATTTAAAATAAAGAAAAAATCAAGAGAAACAAAAAAAAAATGTAAAATGTATTTGAAGTTTTGTAGATTGAAATTTATTTTGTAATATTTTACTTGAATGCAATTGTATTATCTTTCAATTTCTAAATATGTTTGGTGACTAAAATATTATTTTAAGAAATATATCTGTTTAATAAATCTGTTTAGTTTAAATGCACGAACATACATTGCCTAAATTTACTGAGAAATGGATCAAAATATACATTTTTAATTCTTTGTACATTACTGTACTTTCAGTCATTAGTGAATATTTCTAAGCGTTTGATTCAAAACTTATAGTTATTTTACTTCTCAAGTTGTCTCATACTCTTTATTTAGTTACTGCTGTCAACCTGTGACTGACTAAAAATAAACCAGAGAGTCATTCGGGGTTATATAAGCCTTGCACTTTGTAGTTTTAATGTCTGTTCCATAATGTTCAGTTTTATTTTCTGTCACCAATAATTACTCTATTTCCACTTTTAATATTCCTTACTACCTGGACTTAGATTCACATTGCACAGTGGAACCATTAATATATTATGTTTGCTTCTTTTAAATGCAAATCACAAATTTTAGCTGCTGTCATAGCGTAGTGACTTTGACATTCTCCTATCTTTATTCTCATCCGTTATTGACATTTAAAATAGATTATTGTGTGCTAAAGCCTGGTATCAACGCAGCTCTGGTTGACGCAGAGGTTTGAAATGCTGCAGGCTCCACCATTGTGCTTCTCTCCCCGTTTTCTGTCAAGAGCAGGTCTGCACACATTGAACCCATCATCACGCTGACAGAATAAACAAAGGGCCCCACAGGACCCTGTTTCAGACCATTATACCACCAGCCAGGGCTCTTGGTGGCCTATTGGCAGCAGTATGAGAGTGCTGGCTGACCCAACCACCATGCACTTTTTGTCGCTCACATCAGGGCTTATTTCACAAGAGACCTGGAGCTCGTGCCTCAAACAATACTGATAGGGTGAATTATTATGTGTGGATGGATATTCTGCTCATGGTGTGCTCTGATCATCTCTGTTGATTAATGTGCACTTGTGTTGATTGGTAAAGAAGGCTTTCTGAAGCAAGCTGTCTTTTATCTTTCATTGCTTGACTTGAAGACGGTGTATGTGCCGACTTTTCTGATTGGATGAATGGCAGTTTTGGAGGTTTAGAATTGTTTTAAATGTAATTGATTTTGAGTATTGCCAGAATCTTTAGGGATGTAACGAGTCACCTGACTCATGATTCGGTACAATTTACAATGCTAATTTTATGATACACGATTTAGTCACGTTTTTTTAACAAAACTATTTGAAACAAATTTAAGGTGAAGAGCCCTTTCATTTTTTTTCTTAAATGCTGCACAATTTTTTGCAAAACATAATATATTTTCTGTCATAACTAAATAGCTATTTTAAAAACAAATACCCCCTCCCCCCAAACAAGAAAAAAGAATAATACAAACTAAACTAAAGAAGACTCATTAATATATCAAACTAAAACTGTGACTGTGCTAGGATTTTACATTTTTCTTAAAGGATTATCTGCATATCTATGTTTTTTGGCATAAGCTGAGGTCTTTGCACATTTACAATGTCCCCTACTGATTAAAAGAACTCTTTCACTGAGGACTGAGATGACTGGTGTAGAGAGGAATGCCTTTCCTAAACCAGAGAGCATACAGTGGTGGTCAATAGGCCTTCTGATCTAGGTGACTGGACACTGGCATAAAATACTGATTATAAAATGACTAAATATATAGTAGTATAGAGACAGGAGTTGAACGTGATTATGAAGGTGAATAATTAATATTATTTGTATAATTAATTAGCATAAGTATCAGTGATGCACTTAAGAGATCATCTTTAACATTTTTAAATATTTAATAATAATAATAAGCAAACTAATAAAATATACATTAAATAATTTGAAAAAGAGAGGGTGAAAATAATCTAAAATCTGCTTCTGTAACAGAACAACTTTCTCTTTCAGGCTGAAAAACATCTTCACACTTTCGTTATGAAAACACTGATGCACCGTGTGATCTCTGTATTGTAGCACTCGTCGGAGACAGCAAAACTGCAAATTCAATCAAATTCAATTCATGTTTATTTCTATAGCACTTTTACAATGTACACTGTGTCAAAGCAGTTTAACATAGAATTTCTAGTAAAGTGAAACTGTGCCAATCCAGTTTCAGTCAGTTCAGTTCAGTTTTGTTCAGATTAGTGTGGTTTAAATTTCAATGCTGAAATCTTGCAGTCCACTTAGTTTGGCTTATTAATAGTTTTTTTTGCATATAGACGTCACGTCTGTAACAGTAGGTTTTCACTGTGCTGACAGTTTTTCTGCATCATATTTGTTGTTCTGTTAGTGTCTTTTTGCAGTATTTGCACACAGTTTGTGTTTTGTGAAGCGCAACTTACCGCTATCGTTTTACTCTGCCGGTCTGCCTCTTTCTCACTGCTGATATGCAGGTAAAGCGAGTTTGCACCTATGAACACAGCACCTCCTCTTTTAAAAAATGTTTTTTCGCTATTTGTTCAAAATTTCTACCGGTTTGAATTGTCACATATTTGAATTGATTTTCAACCGGCTAATGGTGAATTGTTACATCCCTATATATATTTTTTATATTAACTAATAAAAATGCTGAAAGGGATAGTTTACACAGAACTCAAAATTCTATCCTCATTTACTTTGCTTTTACTTTTTTCTGTTGAACACAAAAGTAGATATTATAAATAAAGCTGAAAACCTGTAACTATTGAATATATTTTTTGTTTTTTATCAGAATAAAGAAACTTATAAAGGTCTGGAACCACTTGAGGATGAGTAAATGGTGAGATTTTAAATTTTTGGAGGTGAACTAACAATTTTGGCAATATGGTTTGACATAGATTAACATAAATAAATATAGATTGTAAAATAGTTTTGATCACTCAAATAAACAAGCTTCAGCTCCAGAAAATCAGATGCTGAAATAAGGTTGTGTTCAATCAGCCTTTATGATTTTAGGCTTAATAGTCAGCCAAAGGTCATAACTCGTGTTGAGGCTTTTCAACCAATTTCCCAGGAGGCTTTTGGAATTTTATAGAGGGATTTATGTAAACAAAGGCATTTGTTTCTGTTTTTCTTCCAGTCTATCCTTACATCTCCCTTTAGGATACAGTTCATAACACATTTTCAGTGATAACATTAGTTTAGCACCTTCTTTAGCTGGGGTTGTTAAGCGTGAATAGGATAATGGACAGCAGTCATAACTGTAAGTAAATTCTTACCTGTGGCATGTGATGGTCTTTTTACATTATTTCACTTTCACAAAGAAACAAGTGGCTTATGCTTTTGCTTTATAATGCAGTTCTGGGTTGCTTGTTTAACTAGGATACAGTACAGGAAACATTTGGTTCGTAAAAATCACAAAAGTTACTATGACAATCATGCATGCAAGAGAATATAGAAGTACTCCAAAGATCCACGTATGCATTGGTAATTTTTAAGAATGCACAAAAAAGTGAAAAATCCAATGCTATTTTTATTTTCAATGTATCCAACTATTACCAGCATGCAGACATCATAGATACAGTATCTATGTAGCAACCATTACAAACGATAACTTGTACCTGTACATGTATAATATTTAAAATATATATTAATTATTGTGGTTTTCTTTTAAACATACCATTGTTGTTGTGTTGTTTGTATTACTGAAGTTTCAAGTGAAGAGTCAAATATGAATTTCCTAAAAAGGACAAAAAGCAAACCCTGTGTAAACTAATGATAGCAGAAACTAAGTGATCTGTCACTAAAAAAACAGATCATTTCATGTGTCATGTTTGTTTTAATCTCGATGAGACTAAAAGTGGTCTGAGTGGGAGTCATTTACTCTGTAATTAGTCCATTTGTTTCCACCAGTCTGACCTGTTTACACCCACTCATGTTCACTGTACAATTTAGCTGCCTATGTCTGAAACTGAACCCGCCAATGCCACTGATAAACTGAAGTGCCATTTTAGGAAAAACGCTATTTGCTCTCTATTTGAGTTTATTAATGTTCATGCACTGTTAGTTACTTCCTCATCTAATTGCTGGCAGCAACACCGGTTCATTGGAAATATGTACTTTAGCCTACATTGTTGTGACACTGTAGAAAACGTACTTATATGTTTAACTGCAGTTTTCTAGATAAAATGAATGCTATGGGGCAGTTTGATGCCAACAATGTTTGTTCCTTTTCACACTACTGATATTAACCGAAAAATTCATTTATTTTCTTTTCGGCTTAGTCCGTTTATTAATCTGGGGTTGCCACAGCGGAATGATGCGTCAACTTATACAACATATGTTATACTTAGCAGATGTTCTTCCAGCTGCAACCCATCACTGGGAAAGATATTTACAGAAATATATTAGCAAAGAATAAGTTTACATGTCCACCAAAGCTTTTTTGCACAGCAGAAATGTGTGTACTGTTCTAAAAATGCTTAGTTTGCACAAAAAAAATGCAATAGTTTCTAAGATTTGAAATTGAATATGTCTGTTCGGTGTTGGACTGTGATGCAGAGTGCTTGCTCCAGGGAAGCACAGTTTTAAAAAGGATTAAAGCAATGTAAAATCAAGGCAAAACAATGTGGTCATACTATTTTTTTGGCTTAGGAAAGGGTTTACATCAGTGGCTTGCTAGGTGATCTGTACTACAATTTCTGCTTTCTCCTGAAGGCGTACAAGAAGGATGTGTATCTAAAACGTATAACAAAGCGTACCCTAAGGCCATATTTCTGATTCATAAAGATTTATACAGCGTCCTCTAGTGGTTTTGTAATTTGAAACGTACAACAAAATGCAGTCCTTGCTGCAGCCTGTAGCAAAGTGATGTCATGTATACACTACATCATGCACACTGAAGTGCGCATGCACAATGAGATGCGTCCAAAATTAAATACTTCCAAATTGTCATGTAGTAAAAGAAAAAAATCCAAATGAAGTACAAACTCAAGTAGCATACCTGCCAATAAGAGTTTTCCGGGAGACAGAACAATATGGGAGATGGGTCTGAAATATGGGAGACTTCCGGGAAAAACTGAGGTGTTGGCAGGTATGTCAAGTGGTGCTCATTACTTTAGTCTGTAAATTCACTTCCTGGAGCTGAAGGTGGCAGTAATGAACCAAAAAGCTTGATACCAGCCACTGTTGGGGTAGGTGTAGAAACTAATCACATGCAATGTTTTTTAATGTGTAATTTAATAAATAATATGAATAATAATAGTTTCTTTCTTGTGACAGACACTTGCACATGCACGTCGATGTAATAAATGAAATGGACATAACCGTTCACGTGCACTCATTCATTCATTCATTTTCTTTTCGGCTTAGTGCCTTTATTAATCTGGGGTCGCCACAGCAGAATGAACTGCCAACTTATCCAGTGCATGTTTTTTTTACGCAGCAGATGCCCTTCCAGCTGCAACCCATCACTGGAAACATCCACACACACTCACTCACACGGTCAATTTTAGCTTACCCAATGCAACTTTACCGCACATATCTTTAGACTTGTGGGGGAAACCGGAGAATCCGGAGGAAACTTACACGAACATGGTGAGAACATGCAAACTCCACACAGAAATGCCAACTGGCTTGAACCTGCGACCTTCTTGCTGTGAGGCGAACGTACTACCCACTGCGCCACCACTTCACCCGCATTCATTCATTAAATCAAAATACTGCTAGCACATCCGTAACATATAGCGTTCTAACACATACTTGATGACGACATACAGTACATGACATTGACACACGTTTCGTCACAGGCTGCAGCAAGGGGTGTGTGAAGAAATGAGCAAGATAATTTTCGTTTTGCAAAAAATGTAAGCTGAGGCACATTTTATCGAATAAGTCTGGGCTGATCCTTTCCATTTCACTACATATTGTATATGGTGGAAAAACGCTAACAGTGAAATGCTACTTTTTAGAATTATTCATGGAAACATTTTTTGGGAACCAAAATGTTTTTTTTCTATCAAAACGCTGTGAAATGCCTTTTGGAGTGTGTGGGAGAAACACCCCTGATAGATGCCGTTTATGCCTCTGCTCATTTTAGGAAATGTATTACACCTCATCCATCCAGACAACATTCTGGTATGGTGTGAATGAGAAAGCAAGTCTAGGAACAGAAGGAAAGCATTAGCACAACAAATGTGTTGCAAAGCCTATATGCACACAGAGACACACACACACACACACACACACACACACACACACACACGGATTTAACAGGCAAAGAGTGGTTTTACTCCAATTACCAGGCCAGCATTTTGATGGTTATTATTTGATTATGCCATTAAGCCATGTCACTGGAGCTCAGTGTTTATTTCTCTGGGTTACAGAGCTGCGTTTGCGGTGCGTTCCTGTGTGCTGTACTTATCCGACGTTGAATTCTTCTGCTTTTACTTTCTTCTACTCCAATTGTGACACAGAAATGCTTTGGGGTTCACACCACATACTTAAACGTTTTAATTAGACAAGTACAGCTCCAATTGGTAGAGTATGATAATCATGTAGAATATTTCCAAATGGAAATCACACTCAGCACAGAAGGGAGCCATTAAGATTCAAGGTTAGAATACATTATCTCAGGAAGTCACAGAAGTTCTTCTTAGCTTTATGTATTTAAATATTATGAAAAATATACCCTTAAATTCAATAATATCCATCTTTCTTAGGCCTTTTGAGACTCTTAAGCATAATTCACATGCTGTGTTATGTTGTTGATCTATTCTTATGCAATCAAATTTGACATTAAATGCAAATTATCTGATGTATTTTCGTTTTGTTTTAGTTGATCGGGGGCTTTATATTGGCCATCGGTATTTATGCCGAGGTGGAGAGGCAACGATACAAAACATTGGAAGGAGTGTTTCTGGCTCCTGCCATCATCCTCATTGTGCTTGGTATCATCATGTTTATTGTTTCCTTCATCGGGGTTCTGGCATCTCTCAGAGACAACTTGTGCCTTCTCAAAGTGGTAAGTTTTCTTTTCCATCAGACTCTTGCACAGTAGTGTCCTCTATATAACAAATGCTCTACTTTAGCAAATTATTTATTATATAAACAGTTTTGTGTTTTGCTGCAAATACAGTTCACATATTATTGTTAAAAAGTATACTCTTTGAAAGTAGCAAACAGGCCAATGTGGTTCTTTCTTTGACAAAACGCAAAATAATATTTTAGTTTTTTCTATACAGTGAAAGTCAATGTCCAGTGTTGTTTTAGTCTTCCCTGAAAATATTTATATGATAAAAAAATTCTACATATTTTCATTTGTATTGAAGGAGGGGCAGTACTAGAAACTATACAGTATTATTAAGACTTCATATTGTCTTAATAAAAGCTGTTCATTAAAAAAGTTACATTATTCATAAAGAAAGGAGGCATTTATCAGTTGGAATAAAAGAAAAAAAAGCACTGATGAAACTTTATGAATGAGTGTATTTACTTCCACATTCTTAACAGGGCGTGGCGTGACGCTGCTGTTCAGACTGACACCGACACAAGGAGTTATGGTTTTAATTTGTTTCTTTTATTGACAGCAGTGAAAAACAACAATTATTTCAACTGTACAAATAATAAACAAGCTAAACATTTACATTTAAATTTACTTTTATATCTTTTTTTTATCCACAAAGTGTGCAGCTTTTGTCACTGCAGTGTATCTTGGACTTAATTACTTACTAAATAAAGCATTCTTTTATTCTTGACCTTCACTTAAATATACTTCTTTTTCCTAAGGATGTGTTTACTGACTTACTAAGATCAGTTTTGTACAGCCAAGGGCAGTATTGCTGCTCTGACAGCCAAGTTGGGTCAAAGCTAGGGATGATATTAAGCACAGGTTCTAATGCTTCAAGCTTTATAATGCATTGAGCACATTTTCCCTCCAAGTATAAACCTTAAGAGAAGATCTTGTCTTACCTAAGAGAATGAATGAAGGATGCTGCATATTATACCTTAAACGCGTCTCTTATAACCATCTTAAAACCGGGTGTGAACGTGTCATGGACAGAAGCAGCTTTACATAAAATACTTCATCCATTCATTTTACTCTGGCTTAGTCCCTTATTTATCGGGGTCACCACAGTAGAATGAATCGCCACAGAAAATAATATAACACAGATAAAAAAATTGTTATGAAAAATTACAATGCAGTTAGAAAACTCTGCAAATTAAGAAAGAATTATTCAACATGACTTAATCAAGAACAAGTTTGGAGTGTATGTTTGATGCGTAAGAATTAAAATGCACCCCTATAAATCTAATACTTCTTTACTAAAAGGAAAGAGGTCTATAAACTACTGTTTATAGCAATGAGTGTATTACAATAATTTATATTATTAAATATCCATGTTAAAAAATAAAGTTTTATTTATCTAATAGTTCCAGCCAGCTTTTTGTGAACTTGCAATATTGTCAAAACAGATCTTTCAGTTGTTATATATGTAAAAAGGCCTAAATACATGCAGGACCATTCAAATATTTTGCTGCTCTCCAACTAATGACAGCAGATCACTCAGAGATAGAGGGATTTGCACTCGCCATATCTTTACTGCTCTGTTCATTTAACCGAAAAAATGTAATGCTTAGAACATTACTGTGCCTCTTACAATCTGTTGTCTTGCTCATTCAGTTTCGTCGCTATGATTTCTGAGTATTTTAACTAATTTTGGGGATCACAGGGCTGGTAAAAATTTGCGGAGCTTCCGGGAGAAGTCAGGTTGGATGAGACGCTTTATGGGGGAGAACGCTCCTTCACTGGAGCTCAAAGCACTGGAGATACAATGGCTGCACTTGCAACAAAGAATTCATCACTCGCACGGATTGTGCCATTAAATTAAACAATGGTGCCATCACATCTGTATATATTTTAGCTGCTGCAACCGAGCGCATTACACTCCCACAAGTCATTTACCTTTGTTTTGGCTGCTGTAGGCTATGCGTAATATATGGAAGTGGACGTGCGTATTCGATCTTGTCAGATGTGGCGCGCAGTCTCATTCCCATACAACAGAGAGTGGCTGTGTCGAACTCCACTGTGCGCAATTCATAGAGCAGAAATATGTAATCGCTCGACCATGTAGAGACAAGTCACATGTTGTTGTGTAAATAAGATATTACATACAGCCATTTAGCTTGTTTGGGGGGGGGGTCCGGCCCTAATATAATGGTGGGGAAAACACTGATATCAGCACATGCAGCCACAGCAAATGTGTTTTTCTGCAAAAAAGAAAAAGTTCTTATCTTGTACAGTCAAATGTCTAACAGAAGTGCATTTGTAATTAAGAGGAAAATATCAGTCTGTAGTTTCCTGTTGACATTGTGCTTTACCTTGAGGTTTTGAAAGCTTTGTTTAACATCATAACTCACAGACTGTAAATAGAATACTCAGGGTCAGACTACTGTTTGACTTGCCTACAATGGAATAATCCAGTTAAATAATAAATTATCGCTAACACGTTTTTGTGTTCCCACTGTGTATTTGGTATGCATGTGTTATCACGCTCAGTGAGTCAAACACCAGATCACCTGATGCAGAATTAACAGGAGCTTCGCAGGCAGTTTTCTGGAATACCAATCAGACCCAATATGAACATAATTGCTTTTAGTTTGCATATATGGATCACCTGGTGAAAACAAGGCTAGCACCAGAAAGCAGGATTGTTCGTCAAGTTGAGCTTTATTGTCATTCCGCTACATGCGTGGACATATTGTGGAACGAAATGTCATGGCACAGTGCTACATGAATAAACATAATCATAAATATGAATACAACACTGGACGTAAGAGCTATGTAAAATCTATACATAACTAATATACCAGAGTGGTAATCTAACTATACAAATACTATAAATTTGGGCTTGGCGATTAATCGAAATCGAGATTCAGACCTTTTAATTTTTCAAAAATTTTTCCAGGACAGTTTTATCAGTTACTTTTCCTACTGCACGTGGAGTCACATGACTTTGTTTTGTTAGGCTGAGGCTGGTTTATACTTCCACGTCCACTTTGCAGCCATATCTAATCTTTGGTCAAGCAGGACCATGGACCCATTCTTGAGCCTTGCTTTGCTTGGAAGCTGCTTCAGAGGTGCCTTGAGATGGCATATTATCCATTATATTAAAATTATTACTTGCATTACAATTTTTGTTTACAGAAGATGCAAGAAATGCACTGTTTAAAATATTATTTACATGATATACAAGAGGTTTTTTGTAAGCTATTTAGCAATGTGTGGTTAATTTCAGTTGTTCAGCTTTGTAATCAGAGATAGTAGATAGTGTGTGTTTCCTTCAATTATTTTAAAATCAAGTAATGCACCCTTCATTCAAAAATCTCTCACTTGCAATTCGTGAGCACATTTACTGTACCAAATCTGTCAGTGAACTATGAGGACAAAAAAATAAATCAATGAAATAATTGTTCATTAATCATAATCAAGTTAAAATGTTCAACTAATCGAGATTTAGATTTTTTGGCCAAATCGCACAGCCCTACTATAAATAAGAAACCACATAACCTAAGCCAGACTATACAAATACTTTTACAAGACATAACAATATTGTGGAAGATATTGTGCAAAATAGGTATTTAAGGTTGATGAAAACAAGTAGTACATCATGAGTGGTATATTCATAAGTAAACATGATTTTCCTTATTGAGTCCTTGTATGGTGGAGTTTAAGGGAAGTGTCCAGTGCATATGGAGAGATAGTGTTTCACGGATGGTTTGTCAAGCCCACTCACCTGTGTGAGACACACTCAGAAATGCACAATGTTTTCAAATAGATATAGAGTGTTTTTTTTTAGAAAGTGTCTGGTGCAGATGTCTGTTAAAGTGTATCAGACACTTGCTATACTATTCAGTATGGCTGAGAAAAACACTAAAAGTACATCCTGTTTCAAACAGAAAGTGAAAAGTTTGTCTCGTGGAGAAAACTTCTTGTTTTCCAATCTCTGTTGACGTGCCTTCCAAAACCGCACACTAGCAAGAAAACAAGATGATAGGAATTGAATCATATTATGAGCTATTTGTATTCAGTGGTTCGTCTGCCTTTGTGAAAATGTCAGCGAGTGCTATACACACACACACACACACGCACACACACATAGATGGGCTCGCTGCCCATGTAGGGCAGAAATGGAGGTGTGTGACTGTTGTGTTTCATTAATATGTCTGTTTCACTTGAGAACCACTGTTTACTCTTGTCTTGCAGTTTCTTTACATGCTGGCTCTCTGTCTCGTTTTGGAGCTCGTCGGTGGGATCGTTGCTCTGATTTTTAAGAACCAGGTACAATCATTGTACTTCTTTTATTTAATTTTAATTTAACTTTATAAACTTCATCCTTTTGTTTGATTGTTTCAAATACATTTACACCGTAATCTCAGTGTTTTATAATTATTAGCTGTGAAATGCAAGAATAATTGTTGTCAGTTTCTTTGTGATGTCAGTTGGTTAATGTGTGATCCATGCTAATGTAAAAAGGATAATTGGGTGAGCGGTGTTATATGATTTGGGTCAAGACTGTTTTGTGATGAAATGAGGCTGTGTCTAGTCGTCTGCTGGAAGTGGCAATTTGTTTGGCTTCTTGACACTTCAGCAATCATTAACAAAATAATTTTGATGCCAGAGCATAATTAGCATCATCATTGTGAGCTTCATTTTAATAATATTTCTTGAGAACCTAATTGTACCATTGCTTAGACACTGCAGTCTTTTCAAAAAGGCAGATCAAAAGGAATAAAAGCTTCAAATCCCATCTTATGAAATTGTGCATATGATGTTTTGTTGCAAAAAAATCTACCTGTAATAATACTGACATCCCTTTGTCTAACAGACAGTGGACATTCTCAACAAAAACATCCGTAAAGGCATGGTGAATTACTATGATGACCTTGATTTCAAAAACATCATGGACTTTGTTCAGAAAACGGTAAGCGATTTCTATCAGGGTGCACATGAAAGTTGCAGAATTGATATGCTGTGCTTTGAAGATTATTCTGAAGGCATTTGTGATTTTGATCTGTCTACATATTTTTCACAGAAGTTAAGTGAGACTAAATGAAATATTTTCTCTGTATTCTTTTTTATTTGTTCATAATTTTTTTCTGGATTAATTCAATCCATCTTCTGAAAACAAAAACATTTATTTTTTAACAAAACCAACTAACAAATTAAGTAATCGAATAAAGGGCTACATTTTTTATTTTATTTTTATTTTTTTGTAATAAATGATACTATGCTGTCATAAGTTTGTCATTTATTTGGTTAGATTTTATTAAATGAAATCTAAGTTCAAGATTTCCTTGTCAAATATGCAGACACCGATTTAAAAAAAATGTGTTTAATTTGTCATATAGATACATTTTTTATTTCTAAATGCAAAATCTGTAAACTTTTATTTATATATATTTTGTTTAAAATCCAACTCTAATGTTGTGACAATTTCTACGGCAATGTCCCTTCATGCCATAGATTAAATAAACAAAGACCAGTAACCATATGGGGCTAATTTTAATGACAATAAAAAATTGTACAATAACGATGCTAGAATGCATTCACATATGCAGTTGAAGACAAAATGAGTAGCCTACCTGTGAAATTTGATTCTTTGAAGCATTTTCTTTAGTGCTGTTTAACACTTCTTTTTTTTTCAACCTTTCTAAACATAAGAGTTTTGATAACTAATTTCTAATAACTATTAACTCTTGTCTTTGCCATGATGACTGTTGAATGAATATTTTACGATTTATTTTACAAGATACTAGTATATTTTTCCTATTTTTTAAAGTTTTTTTTTTCAGGGTGTCCACAGTGTCCTAAAAATACTGAGTTGTACTGATTTATCAAGTAAAATTTGATAAATCAGTTTTGAGAAAAGGAAGGTTCTTAAAAGGTATTAAAGTCTTAATCACATTTTTACAAGGTCTTAAATTTTGTTCAACCATTGTCCAAAGTGTTTGAATCCGAAAAAGCATAAATATATTTATTTTCCTTCTAATATTAACAACAGTGTGTTCGATCTATATGATTTGTTCGAGTGTCCAGGTGATTTTGTGTAATTTGCGACAAACGTGGGAAGGTGATGTGATGCTCTCAACATGTAGCGAAAACAGAGTGAAACAGACAGCAAAATGGGAAAATGTAAGAGTTAAAACAGTGGCTGAAGCCTGTCGCTGTAAACAACCGTGTCATTTATTTTTGTTAGACTTGGTTTCTTCTGAGCTTTTTTTGGGTTCTGTTGCATGGTTGTGTTCCATTAATTTATTTATCCACAACTGTTTATTAACAACTGTTTATTAAGTTAAAGGTTAGATACTAATTAGAACTGGAAGTGGCGATGAGGTCTTAAAATATTTATAAGTCTTAAAAAGGTATTAAAATTACCTTTAGGACTCCTGCATATACCATGTTTTTAGTTTGACTGGAATGAAACTAAATTAACAAATATTAATATTAATGTTAAAGTTCCAATGAGCTGGAAACTGTAACGTTTTTTTGTTTGTTTGTTTTTTCCGTATTGTGATACAGTTCCAAGAGAAACTGAATTTTAATTAAGCAAATAGTGGACGTGGCCTGTTTATTCTACCGCAGGCTGATTGGATGTTGTAAAGTAGGCATTTCATTCAATAAGAACAGGAAAAGGGTTGTAGGAGAGTTAATACAACCTAATAGACTCCTCCTGCTCACCATTTATGTTTGTTGTCAAAACTGATAGTTGAACCAGCGTCGTAAGTATGTTAGCCATGCCCATTACCTAAAAATCACGTAATCTGATAATTTTAAATAATAAAAACTATTATTTTTTCTTAATGACATGCACAGATAAACTGTCCACCACAAAACTGGCAATTTGAGCTAACAAAGTCATATGATTAGTTTTAATTTCTTGGTGCCTTTACAGTCAATATTATTAGCAACCTTAAGAAATAGTTTTTTGACTGATTACTAAACAAATCACCGTTGTACAGTTGCTTAGCTGGTTAACTTAATTGTCCCAAGTCTTCAAATTGCACTATTAGATGATGTGAAACGTTTCCAGTCTCTGTTAAACTATTGGCAAAAATAAAATGACAATTTTCCTGGAGGGCTAATAATTTTGTCTTCAACTTTATAGCGCACTAAAAACCACCCATTTGCTTAGAAAAACTTTTAGGTTTATAATGCCTTTGGGTATTTATTAAGTTAAGTGAATGACATAAAGACCCTCATTGAATAGTCTATTCCAGCACTGACAATACAGTGATGCTTAAAAAGTTCCTCTGGTGTTGAGGATGTAGGCGCTGTAGGAAGAGTCATACGGCTTGTGATTTATTTGTTAGGCACCCAGCAGGCATGTTTGTGAAACATTTCAATGCACAGACATTTCATTGGCAACTCACTCTGTGAACCTAGTGTCTCCAAGCTGCACTGAAGCGCATGAGAATGAGATTCTGCATGCACCTGTGTAGTACGAGTAATTACAGCACACTGTTTAAGCAGTGCTCAATTAAGTGCAGAAATATTACAGCAATTTTCATTTTTATCAACAAGCTCCTGTTGGACTTTGAAGCAAACTAGAACTGTGCCTGCAAGACCAGTCAGTTTCTAGTAATCATTTCTCACCCGGTGGTGGTCGAATGGAAAAGCTTTAGCACGTTCTGTTTCTGTTCCATTGTTGAAGGGATTATTTTCTCTTTAAACCACCTTCAGTGCCAGTCTTTCACTGTTGTTTGAATGATTATTTTTTGTTCTCTTTTTTAGCATTCAATTTTTTTTGTGTGTTTGTGCACACGCTGCTTTTAAACAAGTAAGCCAATAAACTCACCATGACACTGCGGCTATTTATTTGAGCTTCACAGGATATTTGTGAGATTTTAAAGCATTGGGGGTGTATGTGCTCATTCTGAAGGCAGTAAAACAGGATGGGGGCAAGCCTACAGTGAAATATCAATTTACAAGTTTTGAGAGAAAAAGACATCTACTGATCATTTTGCACCCCGTCCGGGCTGTCTACTTTAATTTTTCAAATAACCTTTGTGGAAGAAAATGTCAAAATAAAGATGAAATAGATAAATAGTTGTAACGTCTATTTCTGTAAAAATGAAACGACATGCTCATTATGACCAGCACTTAATCAAATATATAAAAGAATAGGTGATCAGATTCTATTTTAAATGATTAAAACATTTATATAAGTAATGTTAACTAACAGCAACCAGTAACAATTCTGTCTGGTTCTTGAATCTGATTGGCTGATAGCTTGTGTTATATGTTGCAATATCAGAGCTTGTAAAGCTTCTTCACTCTTCTGTATTACTCCTCCCCTACATAGAGTGACAGCAGATCAATAAACTCACTACAGATTGACTGATATTGCACCCGTTGGTCAACATAATGTACTGTTGAGGCTTTTTTAGGTGAGAATGAAGTTGTTTCGATTATTTAAAAGGACACTTCCTATTTCAAATATTTATAATTTCAGAGATACAGCGTGTCAGCAGCCATTAGCCTGTCATTGAGCAAAGCAAAGATGGTTGACGTTGTCCATCCACAAGATGGCAACAGAGATCGGATAATGCGAATTTAGAGGAGAAAAACTCGTAATTTCTAACTATAGCTAATGAAATCATTATTTTAACAGGCAAGTGACATTCTGAGTCGATCTCTCTCTTTTGTATGTTGTAGTGCTTAACTTCCATATAGGGTATTGAGTGTGAGATGGGACTCTCATATCAGCATTGTGTGTATTTTATGTTGGCCACTCTTTGTTTAACCCTGAGTTCTCTTTGGTTGGCCATCTGTTTATTTTTACTGTATGAGTCTCCTGTTTCTGTTACTGCAGATTAGTTTAGTAAAAAGCAAGAAAGATGAAAAGTCTGCATGTGTTTAGCGTTTTTTTATGGCAAATACAACAATAATCTGGTATTGTTTGTGCTGCTTTGGCTTTTTTTGGGGGTTAATTATTCTGATCTCCCGATTGCAACAGAAATACTGGAAAATCTCTGTAGACTGATGGCATTTCATGACGATCAGCCTTATAATCTTAAAATGTGAGCTAGAGAGTCATTCAAATACTAACTACAAAGTGATGTTTTGACATTTTTAAGCAACGGCTTCTGCAGTTCTGACACCAGCTGCAGATTTGAAGGAATGGCGGAAGAAAATACAAAAGAAATACAAAAGGGTTTTAAGACTCTCTTTAGATTTTCTTTTTTATATACATGATTATCAGACCGTTGTATAAATGTAATATTGCACTCTTAGCAGTGCGATATGGCTGTATATATTCCCTGGTTGGACACTAAGGCACTCAGCACTCAGGCAACTCTCCCACCAGTGCTGATATACAGCCATATCGGACTGCCATGAGATTAATTTGATTTGCCTTTGTTTTACCGTCATCCTTTAAAAAAATGCTAAAATAAAAACAACTCAATTTCGCAATCTATAATCAATAATAATAACTCCTGTACAGCAGTCCCACAACATTCTGACTCTCGATGACACTCGAATACCCTGTCAGTAATGTCTAGTGGCTGGGAATGAGCTTTTTACAGTGTTTGCTATAATGTTAATGTTGTTTTTGGTGTGTTTTCATAAATGAATATGAACACTGTGTAAATGCACAGTATAGTTACGATATTATAGCCACATTATCGTCTGATCTCAAATGAAGCAAGAGATCACGATGATATATGATGATGTGTGCAAGTGCTGTAGTGCTTTCCCATTTCTTAGGGGTAAATTTTGAAGCCCTTCCCCTTCACACTCCGTTTTAAGGGCCAAGGGGACGGGGAAGGGGTAGGGGTACGAAAATAGAATTGGGATTGGGCCTTAAGATGATTGAACATGAGGCTCGTTGTCTATATTTGACTATATTGGAATCAAGGTTAAAATTTTAAGGTTAGGTTTGACACCTTTCCTCTTCAATTAATGTGTTTAACTAATACATTTCCATCATACTGTCCTGGCAAATAAAGGCAAAAATACCTAAAAATCTTGAAAAAAGCATTTACATTTATCCTAAATAATGAATAACATTTATAATAATAATAATAATAATAATAATAATAATAATAATAATAATAATAAATAAGACCCCTAATTTCTTTTGTATAATGCTTCAAACATTGTGTGAATGCATGATCGTACAGTCGGAAATCTGAAACTGGCAGAACTAGCCTACCAATAGACACTGTATTTGTTCAAAAGACACTTTTTCTTTACATATAGCCTAAAAGTTCAATCAAATTAGACTCATATTGAGTTTTAATAGATACCTATGATTGCACCTGAAAGTTGAATAGTTAGCTTGATCGGTTATTTATCAGTGCACAAAATACTGGAACTACTGGAAAAAAGCCAATCTTCAAAAGTCAATGTATGATTGGGACACTGATTGAAATGCATTCCAAATAAGCTAGCCTTTTCAAGTGATGACAATTTCCACTGATGTCCCCTTCCCAGTGTTGTAGGGAGCGACTACTGTGCAGGAAGCCGTGAATCGGAACCCAGTCAGTGTTTTCTGTCAGGCTGCTGTTGTGAAGAGTGGCTTCATTCCCAGAGGCGTCCTGATCATCCTTCATTTATTTGTTGTGTGACCATCATGCTGCGTTTCTTATTTATCTACCTTCTGCATTTGTTCTCAAACAAATATGCTCTTGTTTTCCTTAAGCTGATTGTCATATAATACTTGCAATACAAAACCATGAGATATGTTTCTTTTGTATCAACCAGTTGCTTAAGTAATTACCCTCAAATGTTATTCACAGCCCCCAAAATGAGCTAAGGGGCTGGAATATGAATTGTGCCATTCAGTGAAGGAAGACAGAAGTCTAATATTTATTCATGCTCGTCCTCTGAAAGCTTTTGGCTCGATAAATGAATACAAAGCAGCTTGGATTATTCATTTCATCTCTCATGCTTCATGCCCTGTCAAACTAGGTGCAGTTTAGCACATGGCTTGGTAATAAATTCAACCCGTTGCATGTTACCCAAATTATGTAAAAGTACATTGTGCAAATATTCTTCCAGTAGACTTGTACATCTACGTTTGCGCAGGCAGGTAGGGAAACAAGCAGCATTAGCATGGTCTTCCTCTGAAACTGTGCAACAATATTTTCAATGGTAATTTGTGTATCTTGTTTTTTTCAGTTCAAATGTTGTGGAGGAACCGAGTACCAGGACTGGGAGGTTAACATGTATCATAACTGCTCTGCTCCTGGTCCACTGGCCTGTGCAGCTCCTTACACCTGCTGTATCGTCACGGTTTGTTCATAATTTTTTATTTTAATTTTTGCAACATGAAAGACTAACTCATTATGTTCTGTTTACTGTAAAACACAAGAGTTACGCTTGTATGACTCCAGTTTATCAGAAACATTTAAAGTATTCCAGAGGTTTTCAAATAGTGCAGTGTTTCCTCTAGGATTTTTTTCCAGCTGTGGCGGCAGACCTTTTACACAAATCTACCAACTACCTATGGCGTTATTTCAATGACAAATAGAGAAATGTCTTAAGCGCAGTATTATAAGCCGAGATTGCATTTACGTGCAATACGAGTGTGCTTGCGCACCGATTTCCTCTGCTCGTGCACGCCTCCTCAAATATACACTGCTCAAACACAGATCTTCTTGTGCGCTCTCAAATAAAAGCTGCTGAAATGCGATTTAGTGCGTTTATGTAGTGAGTATGTCTCCAACGTTTAATAGATTTTCAAGGAATAAATATGTATTTCTCCAATAGACCTACAGAGTGGAATTAATGTGTCCTGAAGTAAAGTGAAATGGCTGTAAACTCCAGCATGATGAAGTCATTATATGCAGAACCACAGACCTTTATATATACATAAAGTAGAATTATGGAAACTGTTCATCTTAACTGAAAGCTACTTTGTGTTTGCTGGCCTCACGCATCACGCCCCTGTCAGTCAGCACAGAATCTCAAAGGGTTTAACAAATAACGCACAGCACTATACAGTTAAAGAAAAGTTTTAGCTGTTATAATTCACTTACCTTTTATTACGTTTTGGTGCGATTATAACCCGCTATTAAAAACAACAACAACAATGACTGAATGTTTTTAATGGGAAGCTGTAATGTAGCTGTGGAGGGAAGCATTTTGGTGTGGCGCCCCGCCATGGAAGAATGAATGTAGCGCAAACAATGTAGTGGCCACTGGTTTGAATCAAATCAAACGTAATGACACCTTTTTTTTAGCATTATTTTAGTTTCCTGCAGTTTGAAGTGAGCAGTGAGTCACAAGCACCCAGGGTTATTTATGGTAATAATCTATTGGCACTATATCCACTAATATTTTTTTTTTTATCTAGAGCCAAACGTGCTTCATTCAGATACTTTTAGCTCAGCGTATTTTTTTCTCCCTGTCCTGCTAAAACGCTAAAGCTGCAAGAACTGCAGATGACAACATCATTATTTTTATCTGTCATACATCAGACTCCAGCCATTCAAATAAACTATTTTTTGGGTTGCCCTTTATTTAGCAGCATGTGCATCTATTGTGTACTTACAGTGAGCAAATCTAAGAAATTCCTGGGTAAAATAAGGTAGACTACATGGGTTAAGGTGAGGTTCAGGGGTATATTTTGGGGTAGTACCTGTTTGTTACTTTGTGTAATGCCTATACGTACATAGCACAAGCAACAAACAATTTTTGTTGTTTGTTAATGGATAATTTTGTTAAGCAAATTATAAGAATAGTCCAAATTTTAAGAGAAAAACCATAAAGACTGGCATTATAATGCTGAAAAGTCAGCTTTAAATGGGTGGTCTAGAGTGTATTTTTTGGTCTTGGTTGTATTTATAAGATGCAAAGCATTGTTTGCTCATGCTTCATTTGTAGAAAATCACGTTATTTTTTAATAATAAATTACTTTAATTATATACAGCTACTTGGCTTACATCAGAACGACTGTCATATTTCATAGTTTCTAGAAAAAGACTGCCCTCAAGAGGCTCTGATTGGTCGGCTAACAAAAAGTGCTGTAATTCGCAGTTAGGCTTCACGTCATCAGGAAAAGGGTCATGCCTCTAAATACTGTCAGTCAGAGTAACTGTTAGCCGTATCAGTTTGAGCTTTAATCAGACAGAAAATGAAAAGAACACAACTGAACCTCTATCTGCTCTTTAAAATAAAATCTGACAAGTGTCTTTCACATATATTCAGAATAAGCATGTGTAAGTTTTATGCTGCGTTCACACCAGACGCGGAAGAAGTGTCAAGCAGGAGTGTCAAGCAGGAGTAATTTTTGTCAATGCAAAGACACGAATGAAGCTAGAGTCACCAGGCAGACAGAAGCCATGCCCATGACGCGAATCCACATCTATTGTGAAGTTAACTCAAAGCGCGAATGAAGTGAGAGAACTCAAAATGTTCATGTGTCTTTTTAGGTGCAAATAGCGCAATTTATTTGCGCGTTCTGCATCTGGTGTGAACACAGCATCATGAAACATTCACATATCTTTTGCAAGTTTGTTATTTGAGATTTGTAGAATGCAGGGAAAATAAATGAATATGAATTTGTAACTAAATTGTTAACTGTGCCAAACTAGCCCGGATGTATTTTTTGTAGTCCCCAAACTTCGTTTGCTGTAGGCTTTAATTCAATTCAATTCAGCTTTATTTGTATAGCGCTTTTACAATGTAGACTGTGTCAAAGCAGCTTCACATAAATGGTCATAGTAACTGGAACAGTGTAGTTCAGTTTTAGTGTTTAAGTTCAGTTTAGCTCAGTTCAGTGTGATTTAATTATTACTGAGAGTTCAAACACTGAAGAGCAAATTCATCGATGCGTAGCTCTACCAATCCTGAACCATGCGAGCCAGTGGCGACAGAGGAGAGGAAAAAAAACTTTACCTGATGGGAGTGAAGAAAAAAAACCTTGAGAGAACCAGACTCAGTTGGGCACGGCCATTTTAATTTCTCCGCTGGCCAAAAGTCTTGTGCAGAGCTTCTGTCACCGCGGTGGGCTGGAAGATGGCCTCAGCGAAGACTCGTCTGTCCCTGGAGCGTCGCTGAAATCAGTCTCATGTTCTCCACTTCCATGACCATCAGCGCAGCAGCAGCTCAGGATATGGCCTGGTCCCGGATATGGAAACCTTGGGATCATCTCGTCGCTGGTCTTGGATCCAATCAGTGACTCCGCATAATCTGAGGACCTCGGGATGAGTATCCCCAGGTGAAAATAGAGAATAAAGAGAATAATTAGCGTAGCTGCTGTTCATAGTGTATATAAGCAAGATGCAGAAGCCTGTGTGGAACCCGCTAGGTGATGCATTGAGTGTATGCTTTACTAAACTATCTCTGTGAAAGCCAATGTATCCCTTTGCATTGTTGATGGTATTACATTCAGAGATGTTGTTTATTGTCACACAGCTACATTACACATCAACTAAAGTTTCAAATATAATATTGTAGTGGACCACACCTTAAATGGGCTGTTTAGACCTGATCACTCTGTGTGTTTTTCTGATCGGTGAGCTATTTGACCATGAAATGGTCAAGTGTAAATTCCTTTATTTGTTTCATTTATGTTGTGCAGGAATGTTACATTTAAATTGATAAAAACAAATATTTGAAGCTGTAATAGCACTTTACAATATTACTGTTTTACTAAATTCATAAGTGCAGCCTTGGTGAGGTCACAAGATTTGTTCTGGACATTGTGATCTGGTGATCAGAATCTCCGTGATCGTTCTGTGAATGTTACAGAAACATATACTGCGGTATGTTAAATATCTGTAAACTTTGGCATAGTTGTTACCATCAACTGCAGCAGTTTGTCTAACAACTACAAATCTTCTGATAACTAAGAAATATGATCCTGGGCTAAAATGAAGCCAAAAGAATGTATTGCTTTTATGATTGAGTCTTTTATGAGGTTACTGTTTGCTCAACTGAAACGAGGCATGAAGGGAGAAGTGTATGCAGATAATGCACACATGAACACTAATAGTCTCTTTGTGTTCTTCAGCATTCCTGGGCTAGTTTTGTTCTGTCCTTTTTAAGCGCTCGCAGCTGCTTTCAGTTTCAAATTGAACTGGCACAAGCTGCAGGTTACAGGTGCAAAAATAATGACACTACACCCAGTAAACTAGCAAAGAACGCTGTCCACATGCTTTAGAAATATTAAGTAATATGAAATGTTTTCAGCTCAGGTTTTCATTATAGGCATTTGCTTTTGTTCATTTATGGAAAAGCCAATCTCATAATGATCCCGTGTTATGTGGTTCACTCCTACTTTGTGTATCTTTAGAAATCTGTATCAGCTAAAAGGGAATATTTTTGGGTTGTATTTAAAGATGTATTTCTATATAAGGCTAAAAGTAAAAAGTGTTCTGAAGCATTGATTGATAGATTGATTATTTATAGAGTGGCAAGAGCATGAACATATTTTCTAAAAGAATGGAAATAAAGAGCTAGAGTTCGCCATTGTTCACGGAGTAAATGAGAGGTCGCTTACATTAGAGGCAATTTGGGGTGAGATGTTTAGGCTGCTGCTGTGGTGCCAAAAATGATGTCACTTCCTGGTGAATAAGACCTGATTTTCTTAGTTAAAGGAATGGTTTATCTAATGATGTTGATCATTCGGCCGTAATTACAGTACATTTAAATCTCTATGACTTTCTTTAGTTAAACACAAGCAAGAAAGATCAGATTTACAAAAAACATTATTAAATCACTTTCATTATATATAATAGAAAAAATACACTTTATTTTGATTATATCTATTTATTTAGAATTGAATTTGCATTTATTCAGTCTGTTAACTGTAACACTCACTATCTTTATCATGCTATTACTTTACTTTTCATACTACTTATGAAAACTGAGCTGAAACAACAAGAATTTTAAAAAGATTTTTGTTTTGTGTTCAATATACTTAAATTTGTCAGCTTATTTTGATTGTATCCATTTATTTTGATTAGATGATTTGTTTGCTATTACACTCACTATCACTATTATGCTATTGCTTTACTAGCATAATTTGCTGTTTGTTTTTTTTATACTACTTACTAAAAATAAGCTGAAACAACTCAATTTTTAAGATTTTTTTGGCACGACTCGATTGTTTTATGATCCATTGACTTAAATTTGTTATTAACTTAAATGATTTGTGTTGGGACAACAGGACTGAATTGTGTGGAATAGTGCATGGTAACTTTGCAACATCCCTATTTGTTTCCGGACTTGACATGCTTTTGCTGATCTGAGGTCCTCAAAAAAATTCACGTGAAGATAAAGATAGTATCTGTTTTTGTTCATTTGTGTTTTGCACATTTATTTTCTTGTCTGGCGCTCTCAGCAAAAGCCTGCGCATTCATAACACAGCCCTTGACGGCTGAATATTAAAAGAGCTTATTTCTGAAGATGCATATGTCAGTTGAAAAATAGACCCTCTGAAGTATGATACCAAAGCAGGTCTTACTGTCAAATGGTCATTCATTTTTTATTGGTTTTGAAACAAACAAAGAGCCTGCCAACATCCAGCTGTGTGCAGATTACCTGTGACGTTACCTCATCATTATTTTAGTCTAAAGACAAAACATTACCCTAAACAGCTTTCTATATGTGAAGATTACATCAGAATGAAGTTGAAATTTAATCTGAGGACATGCACTTGAATCTTCTGAATCCATCTTCATTATGCCTGATAGAGATCAGTTTTTATCTTTGTTTCTAAACCAGATTACAAGATATGAAACCATACACCACTAACAACTTAATTCAATGTTTATAAAGAAATATACAGAACTGCCATATGAACAACATTATGAAGATAGTTTTACAGTACAAAAAATCCAATGCTAATCTAAATCTACTACTGAAGTAATACCTGCATTTGCTTGTTTTTGCATTCTATTATTTGGAAAATTACAGTGTAGAACATTTTCAACACATTCATGTACTGCTATGTAACAGAAAGCAATAATACAGAATTAATTATGTTTTTTTAATTATTTTTTTATATGTGATATACACTCACTGGCCACTTTATTAGGTACAATTTACTAGTAGCTGGTTGGACCCGCTTTTGCCTTCAGGACTGCCTTCATCCTTCGTGACATAGAATGAACAAGGTACTGCAAATATTCCTTAGAGATTTTGGATCATATTGACATGATAATATCATGCAGTTGGTGCAGATTCGTTGGCTGCACATTCATGATGCAAATCCCCCGTTTCACCACATTCCAAATGTGTATATTGGATTAGGATTGGTGACAGTGGAGTACAGTGAGCTCATTGTCATGTTGTGGAAGTGGCCATCTGAAGATGGGTACACTGTGGTCATAAAGAGATGGACATGGTCAGCAACAATACTCGAGTAGAATCTGCTCAATTGGTTCTAATGGGCCCAAAGTGTGCCAAGAAAATATCCCCCACACCATTACACCACCATCGGCCTGAAGTTTTGATATAAGGCTGGATGAATTTATGCTTTCATGTTGTTGATGCCAAATTCTGACCCTACCATCCGAATGTCACAACAGAAAACAAAACTCATCAGACTAGGCAACATTTTTTTACTCTTCTGTTGTCCAATTTTGGTGAGCCTGTGTGAATTGTAGCCTCTTTTTCCTGTTGTTAGCCAACAGGAGTGGTACACAGTGTGGTCTTGTGCTGCTGTAGCCCATCCACCACTAGGTTACCTTGGTTGAAACGAGTGGTTATTTGAGTTACTGTTGACTTTCTATCAGCTTAAACCAGTCTGGCCATTCTCCTCTGACCTCTGGCATCAACAAGGCATTTGTGGCCACTTAACTGGCGCTCACTGCATATTTTTTTCTTTTTCAGACCATTCTCTGTAAACCCTAGCGATTTGTTGTGCATGAAAATCGCAGCAGTTTCTGAAATACTCAGACCAGCCTGTCTCAGTACAAAGTCAAGTAAATCACCTTTCTTCCCCATTCTGGTGCTCGGTTTGAACTGAAGCAGATCTTCTTGACCATGTCCACATGCCTAAATGCATTGAGTTTCTGCCATGTGATTGGCTGATTAGAAATTTTTGTTAACGAACAGTTGGACAGGTGTACCTAATAAAGTGGCAGGTGAGTGTAGTTTGTCTCCAGGGATAGTTGCCTGCTAGGACTTTTTCTTAATTCACACTTTAGAATTTCTTTAAGGCAAGAACTTATCTTTTTAAAGGAACGGTTGTTAAAAAATTAAACAAAGTGCTGATAACGGCTCATGGCATGGAATATTTATCTTGTTTCCCAGCTTTATGCATTCTCCTTGGCTGAGTTTGTCTAGATCAAAAGTTGAATGACATCCTCAAATTCTCTGTCTACTTATCAGTTTGTCTTTCTGGGTTGTCTGCTGATAGGCTTGTCACTTTGAATGTAAATTGGTCCAATCATCAGCTTGTCCTGTGTGGTTATCGGGCAAATCTATTACATTTTGATGCCATCTGAAAAATCTGTGCCCACGTATGCACTGTGACGTTTCAGAAGCAACAAAAACAAGAGTGAATGCCATAAAATATCATTCTGTGTGAATGGAATGTGATTTTTCTTGTAAAATTGCTTTGATTGACAATGTGATATCTCCAGTATTTGATATTGGAACGCCCAGAGATTTATAACTGTTGCAATCATTTATCCACTGTGTTTTGTTTTTTTAAAGAAGGCTCCATCACTGGGTGTTTCTCTGGAAGTGTTGCCATGGCCACTTATTTTAAGCAATGCTTATTTTTCAGTCTTTAGTTTTAGTGACAGAATTTATGCAGTTACAAAGTAGGCAGGTTGCAATATTTTAATCCATGACTCTGGACTACAGAACTAGTCATAAGTGTCATTTGTTTTAAATAAAATTCAAACATCAACTGAAAACTGAATGAATACACTTCCATACTATTTAAATATATGGAATTTGAAAGAATAATCTTTTGTCTAAATGAAAAGTTGTCTAAATTAAGTTCCTAGCAATGCTTATTATTAATAACGTAAAATGTATTACTAACTAATAACTAGTTTTAATATATATACAGTGGGACATTTAAAAAATATCTCCTTGGAACATGTTCTTTATTTAATATTATAATGATTTTGCAATATACAATATCCTATACAATGTATTTTTGACTAGTTTTGTGGGCCAGGGTCAAATATTTGGTTTATTTTCATGATAAAGAGTAAATGCGCTTGTTCTTTTTTATATGTTTTATTTATTTATTTATTTATTTATTTATTCATTCATTCATTCATTCATTCATTCATTCATTCATTCATTCATTCATTCATTCATTTATTTATTATTATCATCATCATCATCATTATTACTATTATTATGATCATGATCACTATCATCATCATTATTATTATTATTATTATCATTATCATTCATTCATTCATTCATTTTCTTGTCGGCTTAGTTCCTTTATTAATACGCAGCGGATGCCCTTCCAGCCGCAACCCATCTCTGGGAAATATATTATTATTGTTATTATTAATATTATCATTATTATTTTTATTATTATTTAGAAAGATCTGGTAAGGAATAGTTAGGACTTGATGGCTGTTTCTCAATTTCAAGAATGCAGAGAACACTCACGTTCTCGTGGAGAACTTGCCAAGTTTACCAAGAACAATGAACTCGAAAGGTCAGGAAAACAGAGAATGCATTCTTTGAGAAATAAAATGCTGCATTCTTACTGACGGTCACGTGACCTTCATGTGTTTTACTGGAAAATAATTTAAACGTTTAAACTTTCATACAATGATTTATTTTTGTATTGCTTTTCTATATATTTAACATGCACCCAAGCCTTACATAGATACTTTGCACAAAACTAATAAAAACTATTTTAATATGAATTTCAGTAAGTAAACACCCTTAACCCTTTAAGGTGCACTCATTTAAAATATATTTTTCAAGTCTGCATTCAATGCACATATCAAGAACACATCAAGATTTTTTCAGGCATCGTCTGTTTTTGTGATCTTTCTTAAATATTGGAACTCATCTTAGTTGGTTGATAATGACGTTACACCAGAACATGAGGATGCAAGATCAATTAAGAACACATATTGAGAAACAGCTGAGATGTACCTTGTTTCCTTTGATTTCTCATTCTGTTTTTTAAATAAACATGACATTTGCTTTTTTGTTCAAACTGCTTATTTAAAATAAGCTGAAACAACACAATTATTGAGTATTTTTTGTAACAACTTATTTGTTTATGGTCAATCATCTTAAAATTTGTGAAAAAAGTTGTTCATTAATGTTCTCCCAACACAAATCGATTGTGCGGATCCCAGCATTTTTACAGTGTATGCACCTACTTTATCACTCCCTGCGTACTTCATTTAAGATATTTGGTTTTAAAATGCACTTGTCTCTTCTGTAAATTACTGAACTGCATGTGTACAAGATTAAGCACTAACATTTAAACTGATAACCAGTTTGAGCCATCTTTGTGTATGTTGTGCGGCCCATATACAGTATGGAACTATAATGAGGTTGTGCTTCTTCATAACACTGATTTGAATTGAGTTTCTCACGGAATGATTTCAGCTTCATTTATAAAGCTTGGTATTCTTACAGCTAACTGAAGACTAAAACCACAAGCTAGAATGATCAAAACTAGCGTAATGGAAACCTGTTATGTTGAGAGTGACCCGGTCATTAATCAGCACTGAGTGTAATTTCATGCGTGTTTAAAAGGGTTGAGAATGTTGAATGTTGTTTTTTCTCCTAGAGGTTTTGCTGTTTGCTAAACAAGTACTCTAACACAATCTCACAGCCAATGTGATCTTTCTTTTTTATGGGAAATGAGGGATAGAAACTGTTTTCACCTATATAAAAATGTTCATTTGTTGTGTGTTACAGCCTGGAGAAGTTGTTAATACGATGTGCGGATACAAGACCCTGAATAAGGAGGTACGTCCCTTCATCACCTCTATTTATGACTCTGTTTTGTTGTTCATATCTGGTCTTGTGAACAAAAAAGAACAAGAGAGTAGCTACAGTCTTGTGTAATTCAAAAGTCTTGTGTCGATGCTGTCTTTTTAAAGGGTCAAAGGTCTAATCGTTAATCAGATCTTCATTGAACAGCAGCGAGAATCAATTCTGAATGTTAACAGGTTGTGAGAATACGTAGCTTGCCCAGATGAATGATGATAACAGCCTCCAATTATCTCCCAATATAGTTGCAATCAATCAGTGCATCTGAAAATCACATCCTGTTTGAGCTGGAGCTGCTGCGTGTGAATTTGAACGTACTTGACAAGTGTTATAAAAGCATGTTCCGTATTGTGTCTGACAGGTTATCACTGTCTCATGACCTAGCAGTATCAAATGTATTACTTCACTGCTTTTTCATAAATCATCTCTTATGACCACATGGAATAGTAAAATGTCTGTCAGATGCATATTTAAGGACCTCAGTTTGCATCATTTGTTTTAAATACTATAAATTTTTTACGTATTTTCACATATAAGGTATTGTATAAATGGAAAGTGTTCTGTTTCTGACTCAGCTTATGGCTTTGCAGTATTGATTGCTAATTAGCCATTAAGTGAGGGCAGTTTTTAAAAATTCTGACAATATGATAATGAATATTGAACTTTGAATATGACATGACCTTTGCCTGCAGAGAAATGAAAATACAAACGTTATCTACATTCGTGGCTGTACCGACGCCGTCTTCATTTGGTTAATAGACAACTACAAAACAATGGCTGGACTTCTTCTAGGCATCTTTCTTCCGCAGGTAAGACTCATCAGAGATAAGGTGATGTAGATTCTCAGTGCAAGTCGTTTTTAATGATGCAAGTGGTACACTTTAAATAAAATATACTTTGACTTATCTTTTAATTACAAGTCTGCGAGACTGCTAAGCACAAAACGTACATTTTCTTTGACTCTAAGAACCTCATAAAGTGTTTGAAGTGTAAGAGATAAGAGTTGTGAGAGCAATTATTGTCTTTTTAAATGGATTTTAAAGGGCCGTGGAGGGAAATTTGTTAAAACACTAAATCATAGGTGATTTGTAAGATTGGCTTCTTGTAATTTTCCACAAATCAGACATCCATTTTTAAAGTTTTACAATGAGCATCACAAAATCAATAGTGTCCATCATGCTTTGCTGTATAAGAGATCAATTTAATAATGCAAATAATATATCTATTAAAGTTTCATACAATCTTCTGCGGATTGTTCTAATTGGACTACGACAACAGTAGTTTCTGTAGACGGAACAAAAAAACTTTCCTGCATTTTTTCATCAGTTGGATAATCACATTCTCTGTTGTGAGAATATTATTTCCATTATGCCTGTTTTGTATAAAACTACACAGTGGTTGTTGTGAGCCATCATTTTGGCACTCCTGCCAAACCGCGTTTCACATTCGCATGCATTTTAATGATGTATTATTGGCCCGTTTTTTTTGTATATAAGTCCTGTTTATAAGTTATTACAGCACAACCCAGCTACAAGAGTTCATCTTCTAGACCTATACTCGCTGCCTACGCTTATTTAATCCCACAGTCATTCTAAGCCTATAATCATAGCAAACAAATATCAAGCTTTCATCTGGCCAGTGATTCAAAAAGGCTTATTCAAAAAGGATTACACATATTCGAGCTATACAAGTGTGTACATATATAAATTCTATAATTTTATCATTCATAGACTTGAAATAAGATGATGATGAAACTAAAGTCTTAAAAATAAGAAATATAGCTTAATTAACATTCACATTCAAACATTTAAAAATGGTAACCTTAATCAGGTAGATATACTTCTTTAAAAGGGTTTTGTCACCCCAAAATGAAAAGATGCTCTTAAAGGGTTTATTTACCCAAAAATTACAATTTTCTTATTAATTACTCACCCTTGTGTCATTCCAAACCCCCAAGATCTTTGTTCATCTTTGGAACACAAATTAAGACATTGTGGATGAAATATGAGAGCTCCCTAATCCAGAAGTAACAAATAAATAACAAATAACAACTTTATTCAAAGTTTTGTTCTCCTCAGGGTTAGTATATTGTGTGCAATCAGGAGTGCTTTACAGTGGTATAAAGCACCCCCCCCCCCCACCACATCCACACACACACAGATGACCACATGTCTATTTGAAACAAAACAAAGTTGCATCAATAGATTTGCTCTTCAGTGTTTGGACTTTCAGCAATGAAATTTTCAGAAACTCTGAAAACTGGACTGACACACTTTACTAGAACTTATTTGTTTAGTTGCTTTGACACAATCTACATTATAAAAGCACTTTAGAATCAAACATGAATTGAATTTAATTGAACTAAATCTGAAATAATATGTCAGAGGCGCGACCAAGCCTGACATGATGTACATCCTATACTGACACTGAAGAGAAGAAACTATTGAATGTTAGTTTTTGTTTTATGTGTGCAAAAATATCTCCCCGTAGCCTGAAAATATTTTGATTGCATCACCATTGTGACACGATTGACACATGGACTATTTGAGGATTTTTAAAATAATTTTCAGACTTTGTTCGAGTCTGAAACCTTACTGTCTATGGTGGATAAGGGAGCTCTCAGATTCTCAAATCTATATATTATCTTAATGTGTGTTCTGAAGATGAACTAAGGTCTCAGGGGTTTTGAAAAATTTGAAGGTAATTTTTGGGTGAACTAACACTTTAATTAACTTATCTAAAGAAAACATACACATTAGGGCTGCACGATATTTGAAAAATTTAACATTGAATTTTTTTGGGGATTTGGAGATGTATATTGCAACACAAATACAATTTGACCAGATTACTTCAAATCTCTTTTTGGAGAGTATTTATAATGTTAGATCGATTGAGATGATTCTGCAGTGGCAATGCATCTCCATGAAATCTAATAAACAATCTTTAAAATTTTGTTGGTATTTTCACTGTTGTCTGTGCTATAGGCAGTGCATTTCTATATTTGCATATGTTGTGAGTAGTTTCATGCATAACAATCTATAAAGACAACCAAGAAAACGATAAAATTGAAATAAAATGTTTTATCGTTTCCCAGAGTCTAACAGTATTTGAGTACAGTAACTGAATGATTAAAATAATTCAATAAAATGAATCATTGTTAAGGTTACAAATGATTCATTTTCTTATACCTGAATGCTTTTAAAATCATTATACAATCACAGGCATTAAAAACACATGCAAATGATAAATTATAATATAAACTCAGCATTGCAAATATCCTGCGATGTGACTTGTGAATGATCACATTGCGATATCTATCATTGCTGACATTGCTGAAACTATATATTGTGCGGCCCTAATACACAGAGAAAAAACTATCAAAAAATGCTCCTGATTGAAATTGAGGTCTTAGAAAGCAAATTTATCAGTCTGCTCAAGTGCAAGACATTGAACAGTACCACTTGGTTCTTGATTGGGGTTTCATTAATATCTGTGCCCATTCATATAATAAGAATAATTAAGAAAATATCCGTTCATTAAGTGTTTTTCATACTGATGAAAGGGTGAGTGGTGTTCGAGACATGGTTTGAATACATTTGAACTTTTTTACACACATATACACACACACAAAATGAGTGCCACGAGTAGACCAGTTTTCAACAAATTAGTAGCTCAGAAACCTGTTTCACTTTGGAAAGCATCCCCTAATGTGCAGCTGCTGCTGTGTGTCCCCTCGTTTAACCACTTTTTAAATAGTTGTTCTGAATGCAGCACAGTCGCAGATGTCGATTATCATAATCCCGTAAATTTTGAATCTATTATGTAGTTATTTTAATACTGCTGGCCATCTTCAGCCAACACTCAGAACAACGCATGCACAAAAGATGCAATTTAATCCTTAGAAAGGAGATGCTGGAAACAAGTTTCTGTTAGGTCAGACAGTTCCTGTCTGTAGGCTGTTTCAGAGGAAATGATGCCAGAAAATGTTAGGCGTTATCTGTGAAAGATAAGCTCGAATATTATAGAGAAAGACCTGGATCTAGCATTTCCATTCCAACATTGGATTGCAATGTTTCCATCTGAACATTTTTCAATCTGATGTAGCGTGCAAGTATGTTTATCCATATGGGAGGGAGGGAGATGCTGGGACTTTTTATGCGAAAATTGAGAAGCTTTTATAATTACTTTCAAAGTTCTTTCCGTAAATGGCGATTCACAGTTGGGAAAAGTCATTAGTCAGTCTGCCCACACTGTGATCCATCCACAATGTTTATTACGAGATTTATGTAACTGCACAAATTGTATAGCCGCAGCATGAAATGTGCAGATTAACACAGGCTCTTCGAGAACATGGTGCTGTGAAAAAGTTAATCCACCAGCAGAAAGGAGTAATTTAGGAGTAAATTAGGTGATTTTCACACTGGGCATGTTTGCTGCTGTCCGAATCCAAATGAGATTGTTCCTGTCCACCCCCTACAGAGTTTACAAAACACACCAGTGCATTTGTGTTCATCTTTTGTCATCATAAACATGCTTAGCCAAAAAACCCAGAGGAGATCTGTGTATCGTTATTTGGTGGAATCATTCATAGGACAGTGAACAACAGTTGTGCCACGTGAAAGCGGCTTTCTGCTGCTTCTATAATGATACATTGGAAGATATGGTTGATTTATGGGCTGTTCATTTGCTGCTCTGATTACACTCTATATATGCAGTTACAACACACTTCCTCTTGTTCAAATCCAGGGTAAATGATACAATAAATTTACAAAACAAAACATACATCACCACTCTCGTGTGGAAACTGCAAATAGGCAGCAAACAGGACATGTGAAATGAGCAGAGGATTTAGATGCTTTATTGATTTATTGTGACCAATAAACACGCTGAAATCAACTCACAGAAGAATTTCAAAGCTTAGATCTCAAATATTTTAAAGGTTATTTCCATCAAGAGTTGGATGAGAATATTTATTGATAATGAGAGCATCCTCAATCCCCACAATCTGACCCACTATACACTCACTGGTCACTTTAATAGGTACACCTGTCCAACTGCCCAGTAGCAAAAATTTCTAATCAGCCAAACACATGGCAGCGACTCAGCGCATTTAGGCATGAAGACATGGTCAAGACGATCGGCTGCAGTTCAGGCCGAGCATCAGAATAGGGAAGAAAGGTGATTTAAGTGACTTTGAATGTGGAATGGTTAAGGAAATGGGCTGATCTGATAATTTCAAATACTGCTGATGTATTGTTTTTTTACGCACAACTATCTCTAGGGTTTACAGAGAATGATCCAAAAAAGAGAAAATATCCAGTGAGCGGCAGTTATGTTTGGGTCAGAATTGCCTCAACAACATGAAAGCATGGATCCATCCTGCCTTTTATCAATGGTTCAGGCTGGTGGTGGTGGTGTAATAATGGTCCAACCTGGTACTAGTAAGGTGTACCTAATAAAGTGGCCGGTGTGTAGCTTTTTAATATGCAGATATATTCTTAAAATAACAGACACTAACCCTCTAACATGCCAGAAACATAATATCATACATAAAGATCCACTCAAAGACTCTTACGTGTTTTCTCACTTAAATCCAAACATTGTCTGGGCTGTGTGTAAATAAGCACCAAAAGTAAAGTTTGTGGAAAATTGAGCTCTTTGCACTTTATTTAGACCTCTTATTATCTAAAATGGTCATCTGATTGGAAAAGTCTACAAAAATGCTGTAACAGCAATGCATGCAAAAATCCCCCCATCCCCCCCACCCCCACAAAGAAATATAATGTCTTTCAGATTGATTTTTTTTTTTTTTTTTTTTTTTTTTTTTTTTAAGTTCTTCGGCGTGATCTTCACCTGGCTTTATATTACTCGCGTGGAAGATGCCATCGAGGAGTATGGATACTATATGGATGGTCTGCTGCAGTCTGATAGCGTTCAACCGGAAACAAAACGCCAAAGCAAGCTGGCCAAATGCTGCAAATGCATGCCTTTGATGGACTAAGTACAATCTCTTTAAAAAAAAAAAAAAAAAGGAAAGCCTTATATCGACTTCTAAAAAAGGGATTTTTACACTTTATCCTGAATGAAATGAACTGTTTGTAGCTCTGCAAAACACAACTGTGCTGTTACTTTCGAAATTTCAGCCTCAGGTACACTGTGCCAAACAAGTCTTTTTTTTTTTTTTTTTTTTTTTACTGTCAATAAGTTTTTCACAGTTACACTCAGTGTTCATCATTTCATCTGTCAGCTGAAAATGGGCTAGTTATTTAGTGTCAAAATGTCCTGATGCTATAGGACTAACCTGAATGAGGATCATGGTAAATCACACCTGAAGCTCACACCAAAGATAACATATATTTACATGCTACTGACCCAGTCAGAACAGCTAAAGCTTTTCACAGTTTAGCTCTGTTTAACAGGGAAACTGAAGTGATATTTGGTACTCTGTCAGTCTTGGGTTATAAAATGTCTTTTTAAATTTCCAGTGCATATATGACAACTTCTGCTGTGTGAAATGTGGTGCATTCATCATAATACGGGTGCTGTCTCTTTTGTTTGAATGTTACCTGTATATCGAAAACATGGGTTTATAATGTAAATTCTGATCATTTCTATACTTGCAATTCTTTTAAACGCAATATCTTGGTTGCATCGCCATATTTCCTGTAATTGTTTTTACTAATATTTAATTTTGTAAATATAATGTCCAATATTACATACGTTTGAGCCTTTTCCTAAAGCAGGGTTTCTTTTTTCATTAATACAGCTTATTATGCGTTTATTGCGTAATATTTGAATCAGGGATATTTTTTTAATGAGCAGATGTTTTGTTGTGGTTCTAATGATAGTTTTAACACGTATGTATGCATGCATACATACATACATCCATCCATACATAAATACATGCATACATACACTGTAAAAAAATTAATCTGTTGTTTTACTTTATTTTACTTTCACCCAGCAGGGGTGCCAGAAAAAAAAAAACCCTGGTAAAATAATTACTGTAATTTATTGTAAAATAACCAACAATAAATGACTGAAATTTACAGTTAAATAACAGACATAAGATTACAGACATGTCCTTAAATGAACATTTCCAGTAAATTTCTGTAATTTAACATCTGTTATTTTACACAAAATTTCTGTAATTTAACGGGCGTTATTTTACCATAAATTTCTGTACTTTAGCGGTCGTTATTTTATGATAAATTTCTGTAATTTAATGGTCGTTATTATACGGTAAATTTCTGTATTTAATGCCTGTTGTTTTACTTTTTTTCTGGCACCCCAGCTGCTGGCAAAAAATTTGAATAACAGTTTTTTTTTTTTTTTTTACATCATACTTTTGGCTTTTATATTTATTCTTCCTTCATGTTTGCTTGGCAAAAACATGAAAAAATCCAAGTAAACTGTATATTTAGCATAATACACAGGGCGTTTTTCTTTTGTTTTATGCAGCATGTGCTGTTTCATGTCATTAAATAAAAACAAATTAATCATTTGGTATATTTATTTACATTTTGCCACGGTTTATATGTAAAATGCACTACATGTTATATTATTTTCAGTGCCACTACTCATTGAAAAATACACTGCAAGAAGTGAATATTAAGCCTTAACATTTTAGCATTTTGTGTGATATAAAACTTTTATAGGATTTGTGTGTTTATGTATTGACTTGACTGTTAAAGCTTGAGTATAGCCCTGAACACAGCGAGCGTCCTGCTGAATAAATGAATAAAAGATGTTTACAGAGCTGTTCTGCTGCTTCACTGCTCGTTCTTTTCTCTTCTCGTCATGCTGCTTTGACATTGCAAGGGGACTCTGTCTCTCTCAATATTGTACTTTAGACATGGACTAGACAGGGGTTTGTGTTTTATCTGCTCATCTCTTCCATTTCCATTGTTTCAAAGTGCAGCTGTGAGTAATGATTAAAAAAGCCATCAAAATCTGACAGCAATTTGCAACTTTTTTGACTAATTTGTATGATCTCATTCATGCATTTTATGGCTCATCTTCAATTAAGTTTGATGGCACACCTCCTTTTAAAAATATACGTTTTTATATTAATTAAATTGTATGAATTTACGACAAAGCATAAAATAGCTTGTTTCTGATTCAGAAGTTTGTTTGAGTTTCTCTTTAATGCCTGGCATCCATTCCCGATAACATTTACATAACTTTCATAACACTTACGATTATGTAAAGGATCATTATTTTTGGTCTTGTTGGAACAAAGTGTTTTATCTTGCACAATATCATTTGTAAGTTTAGATTATTGTTGATCATTTCTCCCCAATATTCAAGGAATAACATCTTTAAAAAAAAAAAAAAATGTGGGTCATTTCCCAGCAGTGATCTCAACAGTGTAACAAATAAAATGTGGCTAAAAGTAAAAGCCATGAACATTTTTTGCTGTAATCAAAAGCCATTGTAGGAAAAGTTCTGAGCTGATCAATGAAAATCAGTCTGGTTTTTGTACCATAAAGTGCTATGTGATGCTACTCTATGTTCTGATTCTATATTGTAAGACAATGAACTTTATAGTTTCAGTATTCAATATTTATACATTGTGATTTTATCTATAATTGTTCGAATGATTGAAAGGGTTGTTGTACATAATGAAGCAAGACAAATGTGTGCTAAAACAATTGTTATGAAACATTTTGACAACTTTATTTTACATGGAAAAACATAACTAATGAGACCAAAACATGTAAGAGCAAGAACGTTTTTAGATAGTTAATAGATTTCATATCATGTCCACTTTTGTTCTTCTTCACTCTCCAAATATAGAGGTTATAAAGTATAAAAGGTAAAAACATGGTGTTGCATATGATGTTCTTTCAAATGAAAAAGGTTTATTCACTCAAAGGTTCTTTGGGGAAGCACAGATTGTTCCTCTGCATCACTGCCAAAAAATCATTATTAAACTTTTACTTTAGAACTTTTAAAAGTCTTTTAAAAAAGTAGTGCAAAACTTGACCACAGCCTCAAAACTTGACCACAGCCTCAAAACTTTGGCTCATACTTCTTTTATAGTGAGGGCTAAAAGAGAATTTCATAGGAAATGAGACATTTATGAAGTCCAGTCTGCTCCAGGACACAAGTGACCTTCAGTCACATATTGAAAGCATGAAAGATATTTGTTTTTTTGTGTCATACTTCAATCTTTATATACTGGAATGCCTTTTTATTTTAATTGTGTTGATTTAGATATATTTTATATATTTTTTATTTTATATTTTTAAAATATAATATATTTTAATATGTTGTAAAAATATTGTTTAAAGAGGAGAAAAACTATAATCCCATTATGAATGACAATCAAATTACACAATATTACTTAGTTGGTAAAATTGTTGGTTTTATCTAACAATATCTTTAAATTGCATATGCAGTTGAGGTCAAAATGATTAGCCCCCTTGAATTATTAGCCTCCCTGTTATTTTTTTCCTTAATTTCTGTTTAACGGAGAGAAAATTGTTTTCAACAGATTTCTAAACATAATACTTTTAAAAGCTCATCTCTAATAACTGATTTATTTTATCTTTGCCATGATGACAGTACATAATATTTTACGTAATATTTATAGGTTAATTAGGTTAACTAGGCAGGTTAGGGTAATTAGGCAAGTTATTGTATAATGATGGTTTGTTCTGTAGTGTAAACTATCGAAAAGAATATAGCTTACAGGGGCTTATAATTTTGACCTTAAAATGGTGTTTGAAAAATTCAAAACTGCTTTTATACTAGCTGAAATAAAACAAATAAGACTTTCCTCCAGAAGAAAAAATGTTATAAGACGCACTGTGAAAATTTCCTTGCTCTGTTAAACATAGTTTGGGAAATATTTCAAAAAGAAAAAAAATATTCAAAGGGGATCAAATAATTCTGACTTCAACTGTACATACAGTATAATATTCAAACAGCTGGGGTTTACACTGTATTACAGTGTCTCTGTTAGTGTGCAACTATATTGTACAGCACTGAGTAATATTAAAAAAGTACATTTTCTTATAACAGATAAGGGTTATGGTACAGTTGCATAATTATGCACTATTCATTGTTATTCTAACAAGGACACTAAAATGATTGACAGAATGGATTAGCAGAAGCATAAACAATTACTTAACAAAATAATAGAGAGAAATATGCTTATATTCACATATTATTAAAAACCTTTATAAAAAAAAAACTGAAAGAACTGTTTTACTGCAAGCCATTATTAAGCTGCATTTAGATCTTTTTTTCTCACACATAATTGCTTTCATTTGACACAATGGCAGAAACATGAAGCGGGTGATAACCTCTTCCAGAAGAACATTTCACAAGTGCCACTTTTTAACAAGAACATCTTAACACATTTTTAAGGAGAGCCTGTTCATCAACTCTGGTATGCAATTTCTGAGCATTGAGTGTTTGTATGTTTGCCTTTAAAATAACATGCTATGCAATACATGCTTATAAAAATTTTGATCACGGGACTCTTTTTGAGAGTACTGTCAGCTTCACACATCACCGCATTAAATTTAAGACATCATATTGACAAGGTGCTCATCCATCTTAAGCTGTTTATATAATTAAGCCTCCACTCAAGGACGGAGGAAATATGAATCAACTGCCCTAAGTTTAATGGCGCTACATCTAACGTTAAATTAAGCTGTTTACCCAGCAGATCTGAAAGATATAATACAGTGGAGATCACAATCAAAGAACAATTTATAAAACTATATGATATAGGGTTTCACGGTGGCACAGTGGGTAGTATGATTGCCTCACAGCAAGAAGGTCACTGGTTCGAGCACCGGCTGGGTCAGTTGGCATTTCTGTGTGGAATTTGCATACTCTTCCTGTGTTCGCGTTGGTTTCCTCTGGTTTTCTGCACAAGTCCAAAGAAGTGCTCTAGGTGAATTGAATAAGCTAAATTAGCCGTCGTGTATGTGTGTGAATGCAAGAGTGTATTGGTGTTTCTCAGAGATGGGTTGCGGCTGGTAACATATGCTGGATAAGTTGCTGGTGTGGTGA